AACGAAAATTGAAATCCGAGTAGAATAAGAATATGTTTTTGAAATTTGCCAAACACCTCCAAAATCTTGAGTTACTGGTAAAAACCGCGTTTTCGTACCTTTAGGCACTTATAAGTCAGTAACTTAGTTAAATCTGAACCGATTTTAAGTTTCTCCACGTATTTAGAAATAAGCTGAGGCCTTTATAATGACATGTATAACGTTTAAGTAACCTGGAGAGATACATATGTATGAATTTCATCAGCAAACATATTTTTATATCCTCCACCACCATCAGAGGTGATAGAGGGTATATATAACTTTGTCATTCCGTGTGTAACACCAAGAAATATTCATCTGAGACCCAACAAAAGTATATATATTCTGGGTCCTTATCAAATTCTGAGTCGATTTAGTTATGTCCATCCGTCCGTCTGTCTGTGTAAAACACAATCACGTAAAAACGATACTAAATAAATTAATGAAATTCTGCCAAAAGATTCACTATTGTCCTAGGCAGTTTGCTATTGACAATGAGCAACATCGGTTCACATCGGGAAAGGTTATGAATCAAAATTTAAAACAACTCCGAATAAAATAAGCATTTTTTACACATTCTGGTGTAATTTTCTCGAAAATTGCAAGATAATTCCATGAAAATCATCATACATTTGTTTCTACACAAGAGCTTGATTTTTGCTGAAAATTTCCGGAATCGCTCCACAATTTCATATACCTCATATACAAAAGTACATAAGTATTCCCGGAAAATTAGTATTTTGTTAATAACTTACGTCAGAATGTTGATATCTTCACAAAACCTTACAAATTAAAATATTATAATGAATGGAATTCATAAAGAGGAAACATTTTCTGCATCGGTCCATAATTGGATATAGCTCCCATACAAGGTCCCCTCCCGAAAATCACTTAAACTCACATAATTTATTACTAAGTTAAGATATCCATATAAAATTTAGTACAAGTATTGCTCTCATATACAGAAATATTACTGTGTTTTTCGAAATTTCCGATCGGTCCATAATTGGTCATAGCTCCCATACAAGGTTCCCTCCCGAAAATCACTTAAAACCACATAACTCATTAGTAAATGAAGATATCCATATAAAATTTTGTACAAGTATTGCTAGTATAGTCGGACATGGCCGACTTTATGAAACCCTACACCATGGATATTTTTTAAAAATTATTTATTTTTCATAAAGAAACTTTTTCGTTGAATTTTACCTTAATTCCGATGTATTTAAGCAATTTATTGATGAAAAACTAAATTTCTAAAAGAGGCTTTACATGAGAGTTAGGGTCAAGTATGGGCCGATCTTCAACAAAGAAGAGGGATGTAATTTTATATAAAGGTTTTGGACCTTTAAGTTATGGACGTTTTTTTGGACATTTAAGTTATGTTTTAAAGGGGGTTTTGCATGGGGGATAGGGTCAAACGACGGCCGATCATTATAAAAATTGGCATGGTCATTTATGCCTATATAGAACTTAGTTGTGTCAATTTTTGGTGAGTAGTTATTAGGGTAATCGATTATTCGACATTTTCCAAAAACCGGTTTTCGAATAGTTCGAATAGTTGACATTTCAAAAAAACCGGTTGATATTTTTCATATTCAGAAAAAAACCGGTTAACCGGTTTTGAATACAAAGCAAATAAAAGTATTCGAAACCGATTTTTAAAAAAGTTAAAAAACCGGGTTATTCGATATTCGAAAAATCGACATTTAGAAAAAACAAGTAAAAGTGTTATATTCGACCATGTCGAATCTTATCAAATCATTGCCGGAATACTGAATACTGGCTTAGAAATACAATTTGATATTATCGAAGCAATTTTCTCTTTTTTTAGATCTATGTATGTTGAATTTTATCACCATATGTCGATATTAATATGAACATCCTATTCGGACGAGGGCTTATGTGCTCTTCCGAATTAAAAATATTATTTTTTTTGATCCAATTTTTATAAACATAAAATACAATAATTATTTGTATCGAATTTCATCGATATAGTCGTTTTTTTTAATTCAGTCATAAGGTTTAAAGTAATTTTCTGAAGGAAACTGATAATGGGAGATTGGATCAGTTATGGACCGATCCTCATCAAATTTAGTCAATTATTGACTGATCCTTATACATTTTTAAAACCAAACAAACTGCATCAATTGAAAGTATCTGTGCAAAATTTCAGCTTGCTAGCTACTTCTATTCGGACTATTTCGTGTTTTTAACAGACAGACGGACATATGCACGGACATGACAAGATCTTCTTAGAATCTAATAAGGACTCCTTTTTGATGGTGGGTATAATAAAATGTGATTTAGTTTTCATAATAAAGCACTTAAGTTCAATTGTAGCTTGAATCAGATATACTAAAGCCATTTATTGTTGAATAAAATTGTGGACATTTAAGTCATATTTTGAAGGGGGCTTTATATAGCGGCTAGGGTCAAATGAGGCCCTATCATTATAAAATTTATAAGGGTCATCCAGACTAGTATAGAACTTGGTTTTGCAGCTTTTTGTCGAGATATGAGTATATTAAACATAATTATGTACTTTAAAGCCCTAAAAGACATAAAGAGTTTAATACAGAAAATGATTATTTGTGTATGTTACGAACATCTGCGGAAATCAAATAAAGCGGTGTAGGGTATTTAAAATGTTTATAAAACTAATCTTGCATCAGATTTGGTAAATAAAACTAATTGCGGTCAATTAATTAAATTAGCAATATTTATATGTATAGGTATCTATTTTTTGCACTAAACTCTAGACAAATTTAATAAAATTCGAATTAATTATAGTTTTCATATCAAACATAACAGTTGTACAGTAGCGAATATGGAAAATATGTTACACAATTTTGTTGTAGTAATGGTGGTAATATTTATGTGTATACCAACAGTAAATTGTAAACTTACAATTTCAAATGGAATTTATTCAAATGAAAATTTTGTGGAATATACTAAATTGGCTGTGTACATGGCTAAACGTTTTATAGGTCCCAAAACAAATACGCTGGTCATCAATGAGAAATGCGATGTTAATTGTCATGAGGAACAAAACTATCAGACGGAACTGCTAAATAGTATTCTATATAATTTAAAGGAAGAATTCGCCATACAGTTGTTTTTCGGCTTTTATAATGATCGATTATGGGATTATAATATATTTATAGTGGACTCGCATGAGTCATTTCTGTAAGTTGTCAACAAGGCGTTTACACTTGAAGAGAAAAAGTTATTCTTTTACAAAGAGGCTCAAGTGTTCCAGAATATTATTTCTAAAGTAGTGCTAACTATATTTATTTATTTTTTTGCAGATTTGTACGCTATAGCTTACCCACCACCTGGGAAGAGCGTTATTTCTACTTTTTCATTTTACTAACTTGGAGCACTGACAATGAAGTAGAACTCAATGAAACTCTTTACAAAATATTTAGTACAGCTTTGAGTTTGAGTGTCAGAAATGTGGTTATAATGAGTAAAGCCTTCAATGGAGATCACATCAGTTTCTACGCTTATGAACTCTTTAATAAAGATCATTGTCTAAATAAGATTATTGTGCGTGAAATTAATCGCTACGAAAATGGAACTCTACTGAATCAATTTTTATTTCCCGATTACATTAATGATTACCACGGTTGTGGGTTAAATGTATCGGCTCATAAAATGGCACCACTTTTAACTTTTAATGGCGATGTAAACAATGAAACACATTTAATGGAGATCAATCGCTTCAGTGGCATTGAAGGTGATATTTTGAAAGTGATAGCCAGGTCTTTAAATTTTAAAATTCGTTTACATTTTCCAAAGGAAAGGAATATAATTAATCATTTCTACGATTCAATGGGTTGTTTTGGAGATGTAAGAAACAGTTTCAAAATAATATTTACTTAATTTTTTTTTGTTCATAGAAGCATCAACTTAGTTGAAAATTAGAAAAATCGGTCCTATATTCCGGAATATATACACTCTAACTTGTTACAATTATTATTTTAGCTGGATAAAGGACGTTCCCAAATTGCCATTGGAGGTTTCAGCTCGAATATGTTGAATAGCGCCAAGTATAGCAAATCCGTAATTTATCATACTACCCCATTTGTATTTGCGATTCGCAGCGGTGTATGTTTCGGTCCAATCAAGCAACTACTCAATCCTTTATGCCCCTCTATATGGACATTTCTACTGATTTTATTTTCTGCATCATTTATTTTTACCAAATTAATACAGACCAAACCAAAAGTACGTGACTTTGTATTTGGGCCGAATAATAAAAAACCAATATATTCAATGTTTGTAATATTCTTCGGCAACTCACTACCAACACGATTAATACCGAGACGAAATTTTGCTCGATTTCTTATGGCTGCCTGGCTACTGCTAACATTCGAAGTACGCAATGGCTATCAGGGCAAAATGTTTGATAGTTTACGTTTTTCGAAAAGTATTCCAATGCCGCAAAGACTTTCACAACTTATAGAACAGGATTACACTTTATTGACACACACATTTAATGATTACTATCCAGCAAATAAAACACAAATCATTACTAACAGCACTAGACGTCTGGATATGCTTCAGATGAGTACTTCAAAATTAACTGCCACTGCTACTTTGGATACTTTGGCTCATTATAATTATAATAATTGGAATACTAGTTCATTGACCTACATCGAGGAAACCATACATTCATTTCCATGTGTCATGTACTTTAGGAAACATTCCATATTACGTTCGAGCATCGATCGAAAATTAAAGTTATTCTCCGATGCCGGTATTATATCACACATTGTAAGGAAGCATGTTCGTAACAAGTTCCTGAAGATGAATACCCATTCACAATTTGTAAGCAGATTGGCAAATCAAAATCTAACAGGATTGTATTTAATAAGTGGCGTCATGTTTTTGATTTCAACAGTTGTGTTTATTCTAGAATTGCTTACCCGTAGGTCGCAAAGATTGGAAAAATTTATGGATATGTTAAATTCATTTTAAGCAATCCTTAGATAGGATGAATTCTATATAGAATAATAACTCTTATTACAAATTTAAAGTGTATGCGAAATATTGTATGTGTATTTTAGGAATATTTTATTAAAAATTTAATATAAATTTAGATTGTAACATTGTGTTTTTACTTGAAATACTAACTATTTATATGCGGCTTTATCTCGGTGAGAAGGGTATATATAAGTTTGTCATTCCGTTTGTAATTTTTAATATTCCGATGCTCTCCTCCGGGTGCATGTTATATCAAGGTAACAAAGAGGTAGCACCTCTTTTCCCCCGGACTAGCAATACCTCTAGTCTGCCAGGACTATAAACTGGTGATGATCAAATGTATCCCCGGCCTTTCCTTGGAATGATTTGAAAAGGGGTTTCAACCAGAGAAGCACATAAACTGGTTGTTGTTGTTGTAGCAGCTGGCTGGGTTGACAATCCTTGGTCGTTGTTCGTTGAACTCCGAGTCGTTCCGGTGCGAAGAATCGATTGTCGTGGGAACGACATAATCTGGTTGGGGTGACCAGTTGCCCGCAGGACTTTATCCCGGCTGGTCACTTGGTTGAGGTTCCATCGTGATCCACGTAGTGGCTGTGGTTTAAACCCTAGAGTGAGTGTGTCGGAAGTTGTTCTCTATAAGTGTGTCGTATGAATGAGAAGTGTGCAACGGTGCAGCAATGGTGAGAGATTAGATAGCTCAAGTATTTGAGCAAAGTGCTTGAACATGTTGAAATCAATTTTCTGAAGATCAAAAATATTCTCGGGACCAAAATCATGTAACTTTGGTTTGGTTGTGCATTAATATACTCAATTCTATTTATAATATTTTATAGTAGTGTATCTTAATAGGGATGGAACGAATGTTCACCTTCGCATGTGCGAAAGCGTATTGTTCTCTTAATTCTTTATATTCGCATTTGCATTCTGTCTGTTCTGCTGGCTGGATTTGAACAAATATGGATTATTCATATTTTTGGGCTAAGGACGGAGGCAAATTGGGCGTTTTAGCTCATAACTACGTCAAATTTAACTGTTAAGGCTCAAGAGACTGACTTTTGTTTAATGTCAGCATCTCTTTAAATATATAAGCATAAGTGACACTGCCGATTTTGGAAATGATCAGGTCTTATTTGATCCCCATACTAAATCTCATTTAGAATCTTAGAAGTGCATAATTGGCGCTTTTATAACCATATATCATTCTTCTAAATTTAAAGAGGATCGGCTCATATTTGACCCTAACATCCATATAAATACTCTTTTAGAGAATTAGTTTTTCATCAATAAATAGCACTCGAAAAAGTGCCACTTTTCCCCATATAAGCGCGTTTACAAACTTTGGCGGCGATGCGCGGGCTCCTATCCTCAAAATAATTGAATAATATTTTACCATATTCCATTTAACTTTAAAATACAATATATTTTCACTATTAGAAGTTGATACGAGAGAAAAGACTATTTTCGACCAACCCTAATGTATAGCTTTATAATTGTTCGCTGATCTTAACATTTTCAGATTAACATGCGGGAAATATCAATATCACTTTCTACAAAAGACTTATCATAACTAAATCGTCTTAGAAATTTCGAAACTTTGCCTTGCGGGCTACCGGTTCCCGTGGTACCAAATTATATGGTTCTCTGGTTCGATCCTATATCAAATCATTCCAAAAAAAGGGCGAGGATATATTTGATCATTAACAGTTTATAGCCCCGACAGACTAGAGGTGCTGGTAGCACCTCTTTTCCCCGGTATTGCAATCACAACAAGATGGGGTCTATCATCATGGTAACATCCCCCAGTGAGAAAAGATCTTGACAATATAAAGCTAAATATTGTCCAAATGTAATACTAACTCACTAACACCTCGAAATATTGGTCCTTATTAAATTCTAACACGATCTTGCTATGTCAGTCTGTCTGTTGAAAGCACAATTTGGTCTGCAATTCTTTCTACAGAGAAAGGTAGAGGGCTGAAATTTTCAACAAAGTGATTCACATTTCCACATATCCTCTACAGATATGGCTCCTGGAAAACATTTCTAACAGTCATAACTATTTTATAAACTCAAGTATAGCAATGATATTCTACTCTATACAAAAATCATAATCCAAATCCAATCCAAAATTTCCCTTTGCCTCCTTATAAAAGTACATATTCTATTAATTGCTTCACTTGCATGTTTTTAAACCATTTCAGTAAAAGATTTTACTTTTTTTTAACAAAGAAAAGTAAAAATGTTTTTATTTCATGTGAATAATTTAGTAAAAATTAAAAATGTTTTAGTGTAAAAAGTATGCAAATATATAATTTCATTTAAAAATTCGACAAAACACATTTATCTAAATTATTCCAAATTTAACCAATTCATAAGTATCTGCAATCGTCTAGATTTCTTCGTTACCAGTTCCAATAAGAACAGAAAAATTGAAATTTGAATCATTATAAAGTAAATGTAGAACAATCCTCTTAAATTTCCCAGTGTTATACGACTTACATCCTGCGACTGAGTATTCATCATAGATTTAAAATTTGAATGAACGTGTCTCTTGGCAATATGTGCAGTTATTCCCGAATCAGTAAATAGTTTTAATTTTTTATCGAAACTATTCTGCAACAATGAATGTTTATTGAAATACATGACACATTGATATGAGTGTATGGTCTCAGCAACAGGTATCAAAGTGGTAATACTATGATTTTGAAATTTATAATAGGCCCAATAGTCCAAAATAACAGCCCCCGTTAAGCGCTTTTCACTTGTTTGTATTTGCTGCAGTGTTGAAAATCTATCTTGCCATATGATAGTTTTATTCATGGGATAGAAACTCGTATATATGGGATTCAATAATGTATAGTCCCGGGCAGTAAGTTCCGCTATAGTTTCAGGTACTGGCATGCGTTTTCCCAGTCTTAAACTATCAAACATTTTACCCAAATAACCAGTTCGTATCTCAAGTGCCAATAACAACCATGACATAAGTATAAATCGGGCAAAATTTCGTTTCGGCATTATTTGATTTGGCATTCCATAACCCAGAAAAGTTATAAACAAATAAAAAGTTGGACTCTTATTTTTGATACCAAATATAAAATCACGCAACTCTGTCATCTTATAACGAATAATTATTTGAATGAATAACGTGGATACACTGAAGAATATTAATATAATAATCCACGCGGGTCCGTCCAAGGGATTTATTAATTGTTTTATGGGTCCAAAATATATATCGTTACGAACCACAAACTTATAGGGAGTTGTGTGATAAACAATTGATTTGGTGAATAGGTGATGATATTCCAATGTTGAACTCAAACCACCAATGGCTATTTTAGAACGTCTAAACTCCAACTGAAAAAATAAACTCATATTAGTTAGAACCATTTAAAAATTTTTAACAAATCTACAACTCTCAGGTAGATGCTTTCGATTCTCCACATAATCGTTTTTTATCGTATTTTATCTGCTCATAATACTTACATCACTAAAACAGCCAGTGGAATTATAACGTAATCCAATCACACTGAAGTTTCGACTAAAACGCATATGAATTTTAAAATTTAATGCCTCTGCAATCAGTTTCAAAATTTCACCCTCTATTCCACCCAAACGTTTCATGTCCATCAAATGAGTTTCATTCTTTAAATCTCCATCAAATGTTATAAATGGCTGTATAAGTTCAGCAGAAATCTTAACGGGACAACCAAACAAATTACTCGCAATTATCGGAAATAATAAATCAAATTTAAGTTGACCATTTTCATAACGATTAACTTCTCGCACCATTATATCTTCAGCACACATATCTGGACTATACAAGTCATACGAATAGAAACTAAAATAATTATACAAACGAGATTTCACCATAACAGCGACGTTTTTCACGTTGAATTTTAAACAAATTTTAAAAATTTCTAATAAATTATAATCCAGAAGATATTCAGAACTCCATGTTAATAAAATAAAGAAGTAATAATCACGTTCATGGGCAGAATAGGGAATTGAAAACTTTAACAATCTAAAATTTTAATTAATAATGTTAATAGATATTTATAATTAATAACTGAAACTCAACTGAAATGTGTCATACGAATCCACCACAAATATATTGTAATCCCAGGGACGATCATCAGTTTCTCCTACAAACAGTTGGACACTAAGGGAATCCTTTAAATTTTCCATTACATTATATACTAGAGTTGAGTGATACTTTTTCATCTCTTTACAAAGATATTCATTTGTAATTAAACTACAGGTCGCAATTTTGGAGATAATTCAATGAAATTTGGCACATGATCTTTTATGGTACCGTAGATGAAGCCTGTTGAAAATGGTTTACTTCGGTCCATTATTTCACCTAGCCCCCATACAACTGAAGCCGCCGAATAGGGCTTTTAAGTTCATAATTATGTTTAATATACTCATATCTCGACAAAAAGCAGCAATAACCAAGTTGTATACAAGACTTGATGACCCCCACGAATTCCATAATAATAGGTTCTCATATGACCCTAGCCCCTATGAAAAGCCCCCATCAAAATTTCACTTAAATGTCCACAATTTTATTCAACAATAAACGGCTTAAGTATGCACAGTGGGGCAGAATGGAAATTTTTTGGAAATAAATCTGGCATTTCTAAACGGCTGATCCGATCGGGATAAAATTTGGCGTGAGCGTAGCCAAGGAGTATTCGAGTTTAAGTTTTGAAGATGAACCCTGCAGATGCCCCAGGGACGGCGCTGTGGCGGCTCAAAGTAGGGTACCTACGACATGTAAAATTTTTAAACTCGTGCCATTTTTTTGTTTTTCACCCAAATACAAAGATTTTTATATTTTGTGAAAGCGCTCGACGAGATCTTGAAAAAACATGCTTGGACATACTACTTATCTCTTATAATATCCGAGTTATAGGCATTTAAAAATTTAGTGATACAAAATTTACCATACCTTGGTCCGCCTTTTTTTGAATACCGGGCGTAATTTTGGACCAAATGGACTAAATTTTTTCTTGTTAGTTAGACAACAAAATTTCCAATAATATACAAAAAATTTCAGATCAATATCGTTTACAGATCCAAAAATATATATTTTTTAATTTAAAAATTCAAAAAATTTTAGATTTTTGGCGTTTTTTTGCCAAAAATGTGTCTTAACTCTTTTATTAATAAAATAAAATTTTTATTAAGAACATATAACAATTTTATAGTTTTCTAAAAGGTATCTTTACGCAGAACGCTTTGGCGTAAAAAACTTGTCCTATTTTTTGAAAATGTTGCCACTGCGTCCTTCCGAATATGACCTATTTTTTATCAAAACTTCAACTTTGGGCGACATGTTCTAAAATCCCAAAGCTGGGATCAGAAAACTGAAAGCAGTTTTGGAAACCTCAATATGTTTTCTATTTACTCCAAAAGTATTTTCCCAGCCCTGAAAGAAATGTGGACCCTATGGGCAAAAAAGTAAAAAATCCCTTTTTTGGGATTTTCATTCCTATTTTTGGGAATTGCGGGATGCCCTTTGACCTTTTCAATTTTTTTTTATTGCATTTTCTTATTTGAAATGACAAATTTAACAAGCGTTGAAAATTTCATTGAGTTTTGTTCATAAATAAAGATTTTGTCATATATTACATATTTGTTTAATTTCTAAAACTATGATTTATATCAAAATTTTAATAGGATCGCAGATAGCTACAACAATTTAGTCCATATTTATCCCTTAATATAATTTTTTAGTTAGATATGGAAATTCTCGACCCTTTACAAAAAATTTCAAGCCAATATCTCAATTACATTCAAAAATATGTTCATTTAAACCTGTGTCCTTTAATTTCATCTTTTTCATATTTTAGTATTAAGTATGACAGCACATATTTAAATCTTATATTTACCTATTTTCTATTTGTTTGCTTATCCTTATAATTGAAAGGTCCTATTATGCTTAAATTTTCAAAAATTTATAACTATTTTTTACCTAAATTTTTTTCGACAGATCATTTCGTTCTGTTTCGTTTATGATCATGTAGGTAAAACTATACAGGTAATGATAATTTCGATTCATTCACTAATAAGAAATATCAATGACTGAATTACAGGTTATAGTAATATAGTCCTAAATGTTAATAGGTAGACAATTCGTAATTTTTTACTTTGGAATACCTGTATCGGAAATGACAAGAATTGGTATATAAGTAAACTTCTCAGATTTTAAGTACCATATTTAATAAATCTACAATGAAGATTACATTATAATACGAAGAGTTGTGTTCCGTTTTATGGAGCATATCTTCAAAAGGGCCAGAAAGAATTGAAGACATTTCAAATTATATAAAAACTACATATAGTAGAAAAGTAGACAAAACAGGCATATCAAAAATTGAAAACTTTTTGATGTAAAAAGTAAGTCTGTGGATGGAAATCAAAAGAAATTTCGATTAAAATTTTGTAGTTGGATGGAAACTACTACGGAAATCTCAACTTACAACACATCAATAGGAGCGCCTTGCAAGTCATACGAAGACTTATGTTCAAGGTAAAAAAAAAGAGGGTCACACAAAAACTTTTTTCAATCTCAAATGATGAAATTGCTGATACATTTAACGAAATGCTGAAAAAGGAAAACCAACATATGGATGTCGTACATATTGCAACTATTCTTCCTAATGCATCACCAAAACGACTTAAGCGAATTGTGGAAAGTATACCAACTCCAACATCATAATCAAATTTTACTGAAGAGGAAGCAATAGCGCTTATGTTGGAACTGGGTCTCAGTCGAAATAAGTACCAAATATTAAGGAAAGCTCTGCATGAAAAAGGACACAATATATTACCATCATACAAGGCGATCCAGGAAAAAAAAAACAAACTATCCTACTAAATCAACAAAAAATAATGAAGAATTGAAAGAACTGAGAGCTGCGGAAAAAAGCAGAATCCAAGAAGAATTTAAAGTTCAGATGGGATTAAACATCGACAAACCACTTTCAAGTTGAGGTAGTACAAATGACGGTAATACGTCGAGAAGGTTTTTTCGTGATTTTGAAATTACTTCAAAAATAACTGGAATCGACAAGGAGTTGCTTCGAAGAGTTAAAACTATTTTAATGGCACTGAATAGTAAACATAAAATTAATGAAAATCGATTTGGGGAATACACATCTAAATTACTTGTATCTCTGTATCCATGGAGGGAACTAACACCAATAGTACACAAAGTATTGTGTCATGGTCAAATAATAATTGAATCGAATATTCTTCCACTTGGAGAGTTAACAGAAGAAGCCCAGGAAGCGAGGAATCGAGATTTTAAGCATGTTCAACTATTCAGCTCAAGAAAATGCTCCAGGCAATCACAGAATGAAGATATTTTTAATAGTTTACTTCTATCTTCTGATCCTGTTCTTTCAACTATGCGAAAAAGATGGATTTGTTATGAAACTCTATCATCTCAAAACAAGGAAGATTTAAAGGACTTATATTACCTTCTGGATATGTATACCGATATGACAGATTATTTTATAGAAAATAAGTAGTGTTAGGAATTAACTATATAAGTAGGTTGTAAGAATTAATTGTATTATGTTTAAGATAAACAGTTCAAATAAAAAAAGCTATTATACTAACGGATGGTATTGTATTAAATTGTGTTTTATATTTCGGTGGACGGGAAAGGTAATTTGTGTGGGGTGATTTAGGTGTTGTTGTGCGTGGCTCATAATAAAATTATAATTTTTTTTATTTTATATACAATATTATAATAAAATAATTAACTAAATAATTTTTAAAAATTGTCCAAATATTTTATTCAACACCAAATGTATGTTCTGTCATACTTAATACTAAAATATGAAAAAGATGAAATTAAAGGACACAGGTTTAAATGAACATATTTTTGAATGTAATTGAGATATTGGCTTGAAATTTTTTGTAAAGGGTCGAGAATTTCCATATCTAACTAAAAAATGATATTAAGGGATAAATATGGACTAAATTGTTGTAGCTATCTGCGATCCTATTAAAATTTCGATATAAATCATAGTTTTAGAAATTAAACAAATATGTAATATATGACAAAATCTTTATTTATGAACAAAACTCAATGAAATTTTCAACGCTTGTTAAATTTGTCATTTCAAATAAGAAAATGCAAAAAAAAAAAAATTGAAAAGGTCAAAGGGCATCCCGCAATTCCCAAAAATAGGAATGAAAATCCCAAAAATGGGATTTTTTACTTTTTTGCCCATAGGGTCCACATTTCTTTCAGGGCTGGGAAAATACTTTTGGAGTAAATAGAAAACATATTGAGGTTTCCAAAACTGCTTTCAGTTTTCTGATCCCAGCTTTGGGATTTTAGAACATGTCGCCCAAAGTTGAAGTTTTGATAAAAAATAGGTCATATTCGGAAGGACGTAGTGGCAACATTTTCAAAAAATAGGACAAGTTTTTTACGCCAAAGCGTTCTGCGTAAAGATACCTTTTAGAAAACTATAAAATTGTTATATGTTCTTAAAGAAAATTTTATTTTATTAATAAAAGATTTAAGACACATTTTTGGCAAAAAACGGCAAAAAATCTAAAATTTTTGAATTTTTTAATTAAAAAACGTATATTTTTGGATCTGTAAATGATATTGTTCTGAAATTTTTTGTATATTATTGGAAATTTTGTTGTCTAACTAACAAGAAAAAAATTAGTCCATTTGGTCCAAAATTACGCCCGGTATTCAAAAAAAGGCGGACCAAGGTATGGTAAATTTTGTATCACTAAATTTTTAAATGCCTATAACTCGGATATTATAAGAGATAAGTAGTATGTCCAAGCATGTTTTTTCAAGATCTCGTCGAGCGCTTTCACAAAATATAAAAATCTTTGTATTTGGGTGAAAAAAAAAATGGCACGAGTTTAAAAATTTTACATGTCGTAGGTACCCTACTTTGAGCCGCCACAGCGCCGTCCCTGGGGCATCTGCAGGGTTCATCTTCAAAACTTAAACTCGAATACTCCTTGGCTACGCTCACGCCAAATTTTATCCCGATCGGATCAGCCGTTTAGAAATGCCAGATTTATTTCCAAAAAATTTCCATTCTGCCCCACTGTGGTATGTATGTATATCTAAGGCAAGATACAATTCAACTTAAATGCTTTATTATGGCAACTAAATTACATTATATTTTTGTCAAATGTTCACGATGTTTTTATTTATTACTTTTGTTCATTTAATTCGTATTATATTTTTGTGCAATAATATTTTGTTTTAATATTTAAGAATCACCCTAATGTTCTTATTGTTTGTTATTTGCCTTTAAAACTAACGGTACAATATTTTTGATCTCTTCTTTGAGTAATTTTGTTACTAATGTTGTTGTTGTTAAATGTTTGAGTAATTTAAATCAAAGCATAAGAAATTTGTAATAGTATGATGAACAAGTGGTTTGACCACTTGTAATAAATCAGTTGCAGTTAAACAACCAAAAAGTCAAGAACTTTTATTTTTCGCAAACATTTTTGGTGACCCCGACGTGATATACAAACGTACGCGTATATGTAAATTTGTGTGTGCTTTCTTAACTGCACTTGAAAAGAAAAATAAATTGTTTTTGTTATTAAAGTAAAAAGTAAAAGTAAACTTTTTAAATATTGTGGTGACTGCAACAACTATGCATCATGATGCTATGCAAAAACTTCTGGAAGCTCAAAGTGCCTTTTTTGAAAAATTCGCTGCGCTACAAATTAATCAACAACAAGTGCCTCAAACTGGTTTATCTCAAACTATGAATTCAACAAATCCATCTGCTGATGTGCGTCTACCAAAATTAAATGTTCCAGTTTTTGATGGAAAATATAGTGATTTCAAATCATTTTTTGACTTGTTCACTAGCTCAATCCACAACAATAATTCACTGGCAGCTGCTCAAAAGTTCCAATATTTAAAAGGATTATTGAAGGATGAACCCGCTAATCTTATACGTCATCTTCAAGTTACTGATCAAAATTATGAAGAAGCCCTGATGAAGCTACAAGAACGCTACGATAAGCCTTCATTAGTGGTTGACTCATTTATTGAAACTTTTTTATATATTCCAAAAGCTGATAACACTGCAAGTCTACGTCATTTATCCAATGTTGCTGATGAGGTGGTAAGAGGTTTGCGAGCACAAGGTGCCGATGCTGAAAAACGTGATCCATGGTTAATTCATATTTTGAGCAAAAAAATTGATCGAGAATCCCTACAAGCTTGGGCAGAACATTGTGGTAAAGTATTATTCCCTTCGCTGGACAGTTTTATCACATTTATTAATAAAAGATGTGATGCTTTGGAACGTTTACCATCTACAAATAAACATTTACAAAAGAGTAAGTCGATTCGCGCTTATACTAGCAACATGAAAAAGGGATGCGTTGTTTGTACCCAAAACCATCATCTCTCTTATTGCCCTACGTTCAATAGAGTTGATACGTCTTCTCGAATTGAAATAATAAAAGAGAAGAATTTGTGCTTTAACTGCCTGAAACCAAATCATCGAGTACAAAACTGTCCGTCAAGAATTACTTGTGAAGTTTGCCATGGTCATCATCACTCTTTAATACATTTGGAGCATAAGCCGGCAGCTAACTCTTCAACTAAGGTAAAAAAGCCAGAGGATGAACTAACAAAAAAGCCAGCTGCTGCTAATACAACCTTCCTCATATCTGAGGATTCTTCGGTGAATTTATCAACATCATCTGAGAAAAGTGTGCCCAAAGATTAAGCCTAGTAAGAAGCCCTTCTAAAATTTACGTAAGTGGACTGGCTAATATGAAGGCTGGAGCAACGAGAGGTAAAGTTCAACTTGAAGTCAAATCTGTACACAGTGAAGAGATATTTTTTATGCAAGCTCATGTATTTAACAATTTAACTTCTAAATTACCATGTACAAATTTAATATTTAATTGCTGGGATGATTTAAAAAACCTACCATTAGCTGATAATAAATTTTATATACCTAAATATATTGATATTATTATTGGATTTTATTACTTTTTCTCATTCATAAAAGAGGGCAGTATTTGGAAAAATGGTAATTTAGTTGCCAAAATACAGCCTTCGGTTGGGTAGTGTGTAGTGGATGTTCGATGGAAGATTCCTTTGCCGTATTCTATACAATGAATTACTATAGTCCAGAAGAGGATATTAATCACTCATTACGTTTATTTTGGGAAATTGAAAGAGTCTGTTATAAAGAACCATCATTAACTAAGGATGATCAAAGGGCTGAAGATTATTATAGAGCTACTACACTGCGAGACAAAAGATATTCAGTGAGATTGCCTTTCAAACATAAGCCCGAATTAGGTATTTCTTATAATGCTGCATTGAGAAGACTTCAAGCTATGGAACGTAAGTTTAAATCTAACGTTATTTTAAAGGATTCTTATTCTGAGTTTATGAGAGAATATCTTAATATGGGACATATGGAACTTATTCCAAAAGATGAGATAAATCGCCCTGCTGCCGAAATATATTATCTACCACACCATGCTGTGTTAAAAGATTCTAGTATTACTACAAAGTTACGTGTTGTTTTTGACGGTTCTAGTAAAACATCAAATGGGAAATCTCTAAATGATAATATTCTAAAAGGTCCCATTTTGCAGCAAGATCTAGTAGCTGTAATATTACGATATAGATAAAAAAAATATTGCTTTTCTGCTGATATAAAACAAATGTTTCGAATGATTGACGTTCAAAAATGTGACCGGGATTATCAGAGAATTTTATGGAGAGAAGATTCTACTGATGAAATACAGCATTATAGACTCACTACAGTAACGTACGGTACCACACCCGCACCATATCTTTCAATACGTACACTTTTGCAGTTGAGCGAAGATGAGCGTGAGCATTTTCCCTTAGCTAGTGAAGCTTTAAAAACGAGTTTTTATGTTGATGATTGTATGGCTGGCTCCAATACAATAGAAGATGCTGCAAAACTAGCGGAACAGTTAAATGAGTTGCTTACGGCTGGCGGCTTTCAATTAAGAAAATGGGCTGCTAATAATAGCAGTGTTCTAAGAAAAATTCCCGAGAGTGATAAATTAGAGAGTATTGTAAAAATCCCCACTGACATAACTATATGTCTACTTGGAGTTATTTGGAAACCTGATATTGACTGCTTTTCATATAAAGTAAAGAATAAGGACTACTGCCTTGACACAAAGAGAAAATTATTATCAGAAATTTCAAAAATCTTCGATCCACTAGGTTGGATTTCACCGGTTATAATTGCTGTTAAGATTATCATTCAAAAAATTTGGCTATTAAGTTTAGATTGGGATGAACACCTTTCATCTGATATTAAATCTGTAGCAGAGCAATTATTTTCTGAATTTTATTTGCTGAATAATATTAACATTCCTAGAATTATTTTCTCCACAGAGTCTATCGTCACTTATCATGGCTTTTGTGATGCATCTAAAGCAGCATATGCAGCCGTCGTATATTGCAGAAAAACATCAGCAGATGGTATAACTTCTACGAATATTGTTATGGCCAAAACTAAAGTGGCACCACTAAGAGTGATTTCTATTCCACGGCTGGAACTCTGTGCTGCCTATCTTTTGACTCAATTATTTGAATATTTAATACCTGTGTTGTCGATAAAAGTGAAAGACATTACTTTCTGGTCAGATAGTAAAACAGTATTGGCATGGTTATCTTCACATCCCAGTAAGTGGAAGACTTTCGTAGCTCATAGAACTGGCTATATATTGGAAACCCTACTTGAGGTCAAATGGAGGTATGTACCTACTAAATTAAATCCTGCTGATTGTGCTAGCAGAGGTGTTAGATCTAGCTATCTAGTCGAAGATGAAATGTGGTTTAAAGGTCCACCATTCCTATTACATGATTCTAGTGAGTGGCCAAAATCAATTAAAGACGTTATAACTGATGAAGAGTTACATGTGGGTAAATTATTTGCATTTCATAATGCAACAACTTCCAAATCGGATGACACCCCTTTAGATGTTTGTGATATTTTAAATAAAAGAATATCTAATTTTCAACGCATGATTCGAGTACTTACTTACTGCTACCGAGCTGTAAAATTCTTGAAATCTAAATCTGGCCATAATTTACCGCTACATGTTGATGAACTAAACCACGCAGAGTATGTTTTATACAAATACCATCAGAACTTGGAATTTCTTGAAGTCATAAAAAATATTAAGAAAAACGTTCCTATAGCTAGCAAAAAGTTAAGAAGATTATCACCATTTCTGGATGAACACGGAATACTGCGTGTAGGAGGGAGACTTTCTAACGCTGATTTACCTTATGATAGTCAACATCAAATCATTCCATCAAAGGATTGTCCTATCACATTTAAAATTGTTCATGCATGTCACTTGAGTAATATGCATGCTGGTGTAACATTAATGATTTCAACCCTACGACAGAAATATTGGATTGTTGGAGCTCGAGAATTAGTTAAACGTGTATATCGCTCGTGTAAAGTTTGCCATCGTTACAGTGCTAGATCTAATGATCAACTAATGGGAGACTTACCTAAATTTCGTGTAAACGCTGCCTATCCATTTTATGAAGTTGGGTGTGACTATGCAGGTCCCCTTATGTATAAACTACATAATGGTCGTAAAGCACCTATTGTAAAGGCCTATGTAGCAGTATTTATTTGCCTAGTTACAAAGGCCATTCACCTGGAGCTGGTTTCTGACCTAAGTTCTGATGCATTCTTAGCTGCATTAGACAGATTCGTTGCAAGAAGAGGACTTTGCGGACACATTCATAGTGACAATGGAACTAACTTTCAAGGAGCTGCTAAAAAACTTGGCGAAATTTACAAATTGGTAAAGAGTTTTGAATTTAATACTAATGTTTCGAACTTTTTGTCTTCTAAAGGTGTACAATGGCATTTTATACCGCCTTCTGCACCACACTTTGGAGGAGCTTGGGAATCCACTGTGAAAAGTATGAAGTATCATCTAAAGAGAACTATTGGTCAAGCTACTTTAAATTATGAGGAATTAACTACACTGTTAACAAGAATTGAAGCACTATTGAATTCTAGACCATTGGTGCAAGCTGACTCCGATGATCTACCCTATATTACTCCTGGTCATTTTTTAGTTGGCAGACCTTTGAATGCTCTACCTGAAGTTGATGTCACCCACCTAAAGACGTCTACTCTTTCTAAATGGCGATTAATTCAACAGTTATCGCAATACTTTTGGTCACGATGGTCTAATGATTATCTTCTGTCACTTCAACCTAGGAAAAAGTGGCAGACAGAAAAATGCAATTTGATGAAAGATGATGTCGTTTTACTACGAGATGAGAACTTGCCTCCCGCATGCTGGAAACTTGGTCGAGTGATAGAAACTCATGCTGGTTCAGATGGCTTAGTCAGAGTGGCTACTATAAAGACTGAAACATCCACATTTAAACGTCCGATTACTAAATTATATCCCTTACCAAAAGAAGATTGAACTTCAATACCTCCGTTCAAGGCTGGCGGAATGTTCACGATGTTTTTATTTATTACTTTTGTTCATTTAATTCGTATTATATTTTTGTGCAATAATATTTTGTTTTAATATTTAAGAATCACCCTAATGTTCTTATTGTTTGTTATTTGCCTTTAAAACTAACGGTACAATATTTTTGATCTCTTCTTTGAGTAATTTTGTTACTAATGTTGTTGTTGTTAAATGTTTGAGTAATTTAAATCAAAGCATAAGAAATTTGTAATAGTATGATGAACAAGTGGTTTGACCACTTGTAATAAATCAGTTGCAGTTAAACAACCAAAAAGTCAAGAACTTTTATTTTTCGCAAACATCAAAGGTGTAGGGTATTATATGGTCGGCCTCGCCCGACTATAATTTCTTACTTGTTTTAACATAGGCTTGTCCTAGGAGAAAGTAAATTGACTCTTTGGGGATAGTAACTACATTTTGTAGAATACAATTGAACAATTGAACAATTTCGGAAATACAATAGAAAAAGAAAAACAAGTTTCAAGACTACTTACGACCAGTAAAATGACGAATGCCTCTGCCTTGGTTTTTGTTGATAGGAGGATGTATACTACATCAAATCCGAAAAAATACATCTAGGCCGCTATCGGGCCTGTTGTACGCTCCTTTTCATGAAAAAAATCACTGAATGTATTATTTTTCGATGTTCAGAAACTCAGTTTCCTGTACGTAATACCTAAGAATTTTCCAATCAGTGTTAGTCAGGAATGTTATTTCCGGAATAATATCACTTCCAAAATGCTTGGATCTATCTACGACGAATGCCTGACAGTGGCAAAGAAATTGGTCCTCTTCACATGCTCTACATTCGTCTAAATTCGCACGTCCAATTTTGTATAAATGTGCTCGTAATCCTGTGTGTTCACTCAGAATACGTACCATCATACTAATTTCAGACTTGCTCTCATTAGGTCACCCCATAGGATCTTTGTGGTTCTACGTACCGTTTCATTATACCAAGAGAGGGATTCTCTCATCCATATTTTTAATTCAGCTTTTGTTGCGTCGAATGATTTTGCGTTTGTCAGGTTAACTACCTCGCCCTTTCATTGCCGACTACTCCCGAGTGGCCTGGTACCCATATGAAGCAAACCTTACCTCTGGGAGAATATTAAGTTAAAGCTTTCTTACAATCCAATACAGTCTTAAATTTAATTTTATCACCTGATATCGCCCTAATTGCCTATCGGTAAATATATTAAGGCCTGTGGGTGCAATATTTATTCTAATCCAATTTCCGTTATTGCTCGGACTTCTGTCTGGATGCTTGTGTTATGATTAGGTAAACGGTGGTATATTTCTGTTTCTGGGTCGTCAATATAGAATCCCAGGCCAACTTTGCCCTAATTTAGAGCCTTCAGTGTAGCAACGGATTCCTACTGGTATTTGTTTGATATTACACTTTGTGTCCAAAGCCGTCCACCAGATTATTGAAGCATAAGCTAGAATTGGTCACGACAATATAACATAAATGACCTAAATAATGTCTGTATGAAATTTGATCAAAATTGGATAACGGATCCGGGGGTCAGTCGTTAATGAGTTAGATAGCCAAGAAGCTATATTTAAAACTGGTACTGACGGATATACATACATGGTTAATATTAAGGTGAAAACACTGTCATAATTAAAATTTAAATTCAATATCTATTGAAAAGTAATATATTTCGAATATACCCAATATTAAGAACAGCTAAAATTTTTACTTTACTAATTTTATTATTTATCAATTTAAAGGCTTTAGCTGTAGCTAATATTAAAAAAATCAGTTTGTAATAGAATCACTGTTTAAAATGAATTTAACGCATTCATAAATTTCTCCAATTTTTGCGATTTACGTGTTAGCAATTCCAGAATAAAGACAACTGTTGAAATCAAAAACATGACACTACTTATAAAGTACAATCCTTTTAGATTTTCATTTGCCAATCTGCTGACAAACTGTGAATTGGTATTCATCTTCAAGAACTTGGTACGAACATGCTTCCTTGCAATGTGTGAAGTAATACCGGCATCGGAGAATATCTTCAATTTTCGATCGATACTCGAACGTAACATGGAATGTTTCCTAAAGTACATGACACATGGAAATGAATGTATAGTTTCCTCGACGTAAGTCAAGGTGCTAGTATTCCAATTCTTATAATTGTAATGAGCCAAAGAATCCAACAGAGCCGTGGAAGTTAATTTCGAAGTACTCATCTGTAGCATATGCATACGTCTAGTGGTATTAGCCATGATTTGTGTTTTATTTGCTGGATAGAAATCATTATATAAATGTGTCAGTAAGGTGTAATCCTGTTCTATGAGTTGAGAAATTGTTTGAGGTATTGGAATACGTTGAGAAAAACGTAAACTGTCAAACATTTTGCCCTGATAACCATTGCGTACTTCGAATGTTAGAAGTAGCCAGGCAGCCATAAGAAATCGAGCAAAATTTCGTCTCGGTATTAAACGCGTTGGTAATGAATTGCCGAAAAAAATTATAAACATTGAACATATTGGGTTTCTATTCTTCGGCCCAAATACAAAGTCATGTACCCTTGGTTTGGTTTGAGTTAATTTACTGAAAATAAATGAGGCTGTAAAGAAAATCAGTAGAAATGTCCATGTTGAGGGGCATAAAGGATTGAGTAGTTGTTTGATTGGACCAAAACATACACCACTGTGAACCACAAATACATATGGAGTAGTATGATAAACGAAAGATTTGCTATACTTGTCGTTGTTCCATTGAGTCGAACTGAAACCTCCTATGGCTATTTGTGAACGTTCTCTATCCAGCTGAAACGACAAATTATGAATTTTTTCTTTGATACATAAAAAAATTATAATTTATATTTAAAAACTCAAACTTACATCTCCAAAACAGCCCTTAGAATCATAAAAATTATTAATTATATTCTCTTCCTTTGGGAAATGTAAACGAATTTTAAAATTTAAAGATTTGGCAATCACTTTCAAAATATCACCTTCAATTCCACTCAAGCGATTGATCTCTAATAGATGTGTTTTATTGTTCACATCGCCATTAAATGTTAAGAGTGGTGGCACTTTATGGGCCGACACATTTAACCGACAACCATGATAATCATTAATATGATCGGGAAATAAAAGTTTATTCTTTAGAGTTCCATTCTCGTAACGATTGATTTCGCGTACCATAATCTTACGACAATTATATTTATTGAAGGCTTCATAAGAGTAGAAACTGATGTGATCTCCATTGAAGGCTTTACACATTACAACCACATTTCTGACGTAAAAACTCAAAGCTGTGCTAAATATATTGTGCAGAGTTTCATTCAGTTCTACTTCATTGTTAGTGTTCCAAGTTAGCAAAATGAAAAAGTTGAAAAAACGCTCCTGCCGTGTGGTGGGTAAGCTATAGCATAAATATCTGCAAAAAATATAAAAATTCTAAAACACATTTGCGCTTTCTGAAAAGAAAACTATTACACTGCAAGTGTAAAAGCAAGTCTTGACAACTTACAGAAATGATTCATACGAGTCCACTATAAATATATTGTAATCCCATAATCGATCATTGTAAAAACCCATAAAAAACTGTATTGCAAATTCTTCCTTTAAACCAAATAGAATATTGTTTAATAGTTCTGTCTGATAGTTTTGCTGCTCATGACAAAAAACTTCACATCTCTCATTGATGACCAGCGTATTTGTATGGGGACCTATAAAACGTTTAGCCATGTATACCGCCAATTTAGTATATTCAGCAAAATGTTCATTTGACTTGATTCCATTTGAAATTTCAATTTTACTGTTTACAATTGCCAAAAACATTATTAGCACTTTCATAATTAATACACAATATTTAAACATATTTTGCCTTTTCATAACTCTTCAACTGTTTAGTTTTAAATGAAAACTATAATTAAATAATGTTTTATTGAATTTAATAATAGTTTAGTGCAAAAATGGGGAAACATACATATCTGTGTATATAATGCTAATTAAATTAATTGAATGCAGACAATTAGTTTTATAATCCAAATCTTATCTGATTCAAGAATGCTTTTATAAATATTTGTATATCCTACATCACAGCAGTGGGAGGTACATATTGCATTTGTGCTTAAAGTACATCCATTTTGGTTGAAATCAGCATATTATAAAAAAAAAAACCGTCCAACAAACAGGATTTTAACTTACAATCTTGCAGCTGAAATTTATACCTCGTTAGATAGACAATTTTCTGTAAAGGATAAGATTTTGGCAAAATGCTAGGAAAATATTAGTAAGAAAATAGACAAAAAAAAAAAAAAAATACAGAAAATAACTGTAAAGCCGGTTTTAAATCCAGGAAATTCGGGTGAACACATTTATAACCAGTTATTTTTCGGTTGTATTCGAACAAAAATAAGTACTTATTCATCCAAAAAGTAACTCACTCGTAAATCGTAGGTAATTCAAACTGTAATTCGCAGCTGAAATTTTGTATAGCGAATCATGTAACTCAGTTCGTAATTGGGGGTTGAATGACGAATGAGAGCGTGAATGACGAATAATTGCTTCTAAATTCTATTAAATTATAGTTTTCATTTGAACGAAAATGGTTGTAGAGTTACTATTATGAAAAGTATGCTAAAATGGTTTTATGTGCTTGACAATTAAAAACTGTAGAATTGAAGTTTCAAATGAAGATTTTGCTGTTATTTGTCATCAGGAGCAAAACTATCAGACGGAACTATTAAATAATATTATATTTAATTTAAAAGAAGAAATTGCAATACAGTTATCTTTGGATTTTTATAATGATTGATTGTGAGATTACAATATATTTATAGTGGACTCGCATGAGTCATTTCTGTAAGTTGCCAATAGTTGCTTTTACACTTTGGCAGAACGGAAACATGTGTTCTAGTTATATTATATATTATTTTATGAATTTCTTTACAGATTTGTACGCCATAGCTTACCCACTTTCAACCATAGAATATATAGAGAGGAAACTCTGCTGTCAAGGACCTAAGTCTGTTGTCAAAAACCTAAGTCGTCTGAATGTAGTTATGATACCATGGGGCTGAGTTTCCATCTTTGTCTTGTCCCGGTTATTAGAGTGGTACCTTCGGGATGCACGTGGTGGCATCCTGAAGGGTTTAAACCCATTCACGCGGGAAGAGTATATTGGTTAAAAGATTGATGCACGGTAAAATCTATAATTCGGGATAAGTTCGGAGCTGTAGCTCAGATAACAGATAATACGTAGAGCGTTGGAAATGAGTTGGTGTCAAATATATATCATATGGGATGTAGAGTAATACGGACCTTACTCACTCGGATGTTCTTCTCAATGAGTGTGTCGGTGTGCAGAGTTGAATGGTGATGGATGAAAAGTATCTTATAAATGTGATACCAATGAATTTGTCTTCCATGTCAGGGTATTTTTAGGGTTTACTCTGTCCATACCAGACTTACTACAGTGTGTTCTTTGTGAGTAAGAACAATGTTTTTGGCTTATTTGATGGATTCGTATTTTGGTCTACCGATTACATCTCTAGGTGCCGAATCCCATCTTCGTGTTTGTGAACTGAAGTGATGTTTTTGCATATCGAAAGTTAAGCAATGATCTGATCACGTTAATGATTACCTGTTGGCTGTTGGTTAAATGTATTCGCTCACAAAATGGCACTACTTTTGAATTTTATTGGCGATGTGAAAAATAAAACAATGCGTTGCTTGAGTGGGATTAAAGGTGATGTTCTGAAAGTGATAAATTAGGCGTATACTTAATATTTGTAATATTAATAGTTCATTAACACGTATACGTACATGTGTCGTTAATAAAAGCAATGCAATTTCGCAATGTAAACTTTCTTCTTAAAAAGAAAAAAATTAAAATGAAGTGAAGTTTTAATTCTTACTTAATTTTATAAGGATCTTAATATCAATCAAGTTTTCTTCGAAATTTCGAAATCGTAAAAATTTTATGCGGATCGTTTTAATGCTTTTTCTCATTTTAGTATTATGATATAAATCGGTAAAAAGAATTTGATATAAACTCTAATCTTCCCTTTAAATTCTTTAGAGATCAATCCATAATGCAAACCCCCATAAAGACCATATTACGAAAGTCATTATCATATTACTATTCATAAACGATTATAAAATGTTTGATGGTGAATATATAAGATTCGGCATAGCCGAATATAATACTCGTACTTGTTTTATATTCGCTTAATGCGTAACACTTTTGCATTTGTGTTTTCTCTAAAATATATTTTATAGATTGGCAGCAGTCCTGGTTTTCTGTGACTAAAATATTTAGTTTTTCCGACGTATACTCAAAAATGTCTCCTCAAGAACGGTATCCTTTGATCCAGTTCACCAAATATTGACGAATGTCGAGTGCTTAACGTGAACACCTTTCTTGACGGCCTTATTTCACGGTGGTCTTTTTCATCCACTTGGTGGACTAGAGACGGTCTACCACGCGCCCCTGAATCCTTCTATGAAGAACTCAGGTGGCAATCCCCATCAATTAATGACCCATTCCAGTGCATTCCTTAACCTCTTACTGAGATGGCTCTGTTGATTCGGCAACATCATCTAGAGATGTATTTGGTAGTCCGAAAAATCCAGCCAATAAATCAGGATCCCTCTGTATGTCAGATAATGTGACAAAGCATGTAAAAATTTCCAAAGTCAATTCGAACCCAATAATTTTCCCGACAAGTTGAGTGGTGGTCCTCAACCATAAGACGCGTAGCATGAAACAATATGAATCCTGTTGAGATGGCAACAGCACCGAGAACTTCTCTGAAGTAAAAGGTGTACTAAATCAGTACTAGTCTTCTGTCGGGCAGAGAAGACTTTCCTGATCATTCACCAATTACATCAGTTCCATTCTCATACCATAAAGAACGACCTACGGAATGACAGGCAACTACCAAGTGTCAACCTGAAAATTCCCCAACCTATACTGGCGCCCTACTACGCGAAGAGAAGGAGATACTCAACGGGTTCAGGAATACAGTATAAGTTGCTCTGTCACATCACCCAATGATATCTGTTGAGATGGAAACAGCAACGGAGAAAGAATCCAGACATATATATAGCTTTTGGATATATAACCGTAGTGTCACATTATATGGTACTCTGGTTAGACCCCATGTCAAATCAATGCAAGGAAAGGCCGAGGATATATTTGATCATCACCAGTTTATAATCCCGGCAGACTAAAAGTATTGGTAGCAGGGTTGGGGGGTAATGATTACATTTTCAATGACATTTGAAGCAATTGTAATTGAAGCCTTACCAATTACAATTACTTGTAATTATAATTGAAGTTTTGACAATTACAATTACTTGTAATTGAAGAATTTCCAATTACGATTACTTGTAATTGTAAATTTTGTTCCTTATAATTGCATGTAATTTGTAATTAGTAATACCTTAATTACAAATACAAGTAATTTTAATTGTAAACTTCAATTACAATTACAAGTAATTGTAATTTCAAAAATTTCAATTACAATTTACAGTTATTGCTCAATTACACATTACAATTAATTGTAATTGACATTGTAATGAATTACTTTGTGTAATCATTACCCCCTCTCATGCCTGATTGGTAGCATCTCTTTTCTCCGGGAAATTGCAATAACATCAAGGTAGATATTTCACCAAGGTAACATGCCCCCGGGAGACACAAATATTGACAGCTGGACAAAGATTTGGATAAATAGTATCTTAGAATTATTAAATTGTATATTTTCGCTGAGAATATCAGCAACTTCAATTTTGGTGCCACCCTAATGTACATATGTATCTACGATCTAAACATCGATGTGTTACGAATGGAATAACTTCAACACATATCATTTTGGTGGTTGATATAAAAGAGAGACAAATTAATGAAATTAATATTTTATGTTACTTAATACCTAGTAATTACCGTTTATTAGCATTAATTATACAGATACTAATCTGTAGTCTACCGTTTTGTATTATCAAATACTTATTAGTTGCAACTTTTAGAATTAAATTAAAATTTTAAGCAATTGAAAAGTCAGTCTGGTGTTTTAAATCAAGCATTAAAGAATGACAACCTATAAGAGTGCTAATACCTCCTTCTTATACTTCTGTACCATTTTCATTATTTTGTCGGTTTTAAATTTTGAAGCCAATGGTATTTTAGAGATTGGCCTCTTAAATGAGAGAGAACACATAATGGAATTTGTTGATGTGGCATTTTTAATGACGAAACGATATATAAGTCCGAATACCAATACAGTGATAATAACAGGAAAATGTGATTATATTTGTAAAGAGATGAAAAAGTATTACTCAGCTCTAGTATACAGTGTTATGAAACAGTTAAAGGATACACTTAGTGTCCAACTGCATTTAGGAGAAACTGATGATTGACCCTGGGATTACAACATATTTGTGGTGGATTCGTATGATACATTTCAGTTGAGTTTCAATTATTGGTTATAAAGAAATAATCGAAATATTAAACCTTTTCATCATATATTTAGATTGCTAAAATTTAAAATTCCCTATTCAAGTTATGAACGTGATTTTTATTTCTTCATTTTATTAACCTGGAGTTCCGAATATCAGTTGGATCATAATCTATTACAAATTTTCGACATATGTTTAAGGTTTAACGTGAAAAATGTCGTTGTTATGGTAAAATCTCGTTTGCACAATTATTTAGTTTCTATTCGTATGAGTTGTATAGTCCAGATATGTGTGCTGAAGATATAATGTTGCGAGAAGTTAATCGTTATGAAAATGGTCAACTTAAATTTGATTTATTATTTCCGATAATTGCGAGTAATTTCTTTGGTTGTCCCGTTAAGATTTCTGCTGAACTTATACAGCCGTTTATAACATTTGATGGAGATTTGGGGAATGAAACTCATTTGATGGACATAAAACGTTTGGGTGGAATAGAGGGTGAAATTTTGAAGCTGATTGCAGAGGCATTAAATTTTAAAATTCATATGCGTTTTAGCCGAGACTTCAGTGTGATTGGATTACATTACAATTCAACCGGTTGTTTTAGTGATGTAAGTATTAAGTGCAGATAAAATAAACGGTATTATCTACCGCGTAAAACTATTATATGGAGAAGAAAAAATCTCCATGAGAATGCTAGATTTATTTACATTTTGCAAGTTGTTCTAACTGATCGGATTTTATTTCAGTTGGAGTATAGACGTGCTAAAATTGCTATTGGTGGTTTGAGTTCAACCATGGAATATCATTACCTATTCACAACATCAGTTGTCTATCACACAACACCCTATAAGTTTGTGGTTCGTAATGATATATATTTTGGACCCATAAAACAATTAATAAATCCTTTGGACAGACCCACGTGGATTATTATATTAATATTCTTCAGTGTATCCATCTTTTTAATTCAAACAATAATTCGTTATAGGATGACAAAGTTGCGTGATTTTATATTTGGCATCAAAAATAAGAGTCCGACTTTTTATTTGATTATAACATTTCTGGGTTATGGAATGCCAAATGAAATAATACCGAAAAAAAATTTTGCCCGGTTAATTCTTATGTCATGGCTGTTATTGGCACTTGAGATACGGACTGGTTATTTGGGTAAAATGTTTGATAGTCTAAGACTAGGTAAACGAATGCCCGTACCTGACACCATAGCGGAACTAATTGCTAGAGACTATAAGCTATTGAACCCAATGTATACAAGTTTCTATCCCAAGAATAAAACTATGCTTTGGCAAGATAGATTTTTAATACTGCAGCAAATACAATCAAGTGAAAAGCACTTAACGGGGGCTGTTATTTTGGACTACTGGGCCTATTATAAATTTCAAAATCGTAGTATTACTTCTTTGATACCTGTTGCAGAGACCATACACTCATATCAATGTGTCATGTATTTCAATAAACATTCATTATTGCAGATTAGTTTCGATAAAAAATTGAAATTATTTACTGATTCGGGAATAACTGCACATATTGCCAAGAGACACGTTCATTCAAATTTTAAATCTATGATGAATACTCAGTCGCAGGATGTAAGTCGTATAACACTGGGAAATTTAAGAGGATTGTTCTACATTTACTTTATAATGATTCAAATTTCACTTTTTCTGTTCTTATTGGAACTGTTAACGAAGAACTCGAAACGATTGAGGATGCTTATGGATTGGTTGAATTTTGAATAATTTAGATAATTTAAAATGAAATTATGTATTTGCACTAAAATAAAAATATTTCTTACTACATTGCTCACATGGATAAAACAAAATCTTACTTTTTTATTGGAAGATTTACAATGATTTTAAAACTTGAAAGGAGATGTAAATAAAACAATTTATATTTGGATGTGCCAAATCTTAAGTCGTTGGGAGTGTTGCATTATATGTAGATGCACGCCAGAACTTCCTTAAAAAGCACCGACGGGGCATGGCCAGATTTGAGAGGATCTACAGCAATTTGTTGGTGCCATCGGCACGACAAAAATAGGATTGTATAGACATCGGCTAATTGCCGTTTATGTAACATGAAGGAGGGTGGTTTCCTGCTCAGGGCTTCAGATAGGGCTGCATATGGTAGCAGGACACCATCTACAAGGTCAAGTGGAGCTGAACATATGTTATGCAATTGTCATGGTGCACAGAGCCTTAGGAGGAAATGGCTGAGAAAACATTTCATGATGATTAAGTTGATGTAGTATATAAGACCTTCTGAAGTTTAGCAAGGGAGTTGATTGGAATTTGGAAAATAAATAAAAACAATTCTTCTAATACAAACTCTACGATACATATGATCCCTATAAAGAAAAATTAGTACTTGTGTATTTCATATTAATAAAATTCAACCTAAACATTGAATGTTAAAAATCATTAACAGTGTTACACATCGGATAAGATATTATCGCTAAAACAAATTGATATTAGTTAGTTAATTAAATTGGCAAAGTGTATTTAACTCATTTAAATTGTATTTTTTGTGCTTCTTAGACGCAGGTGGCAATGTTTGTACATGGTTTTGCCGGTCCATGTATAAGCACTTTGCTCAAGTACTCGAGCTATCTAATCTCTTGCCATAGTAGCCCCGTTGAGGAGTGACAGGTATCATGAGTCATATTCAATCAAACTTCGACAAAGAAAAAGGAAATCATTGGTTAGAGCCGATAGAAGGGGCGCACCCAACATCAGGTGAAACACCCTATTGATGCTATGAGGAATGCTCTGACTCTAACGACATTCTCATCATCTAAAGACTCACACCAATACATTCCTTGACCTACATTAAGTATCCCAACCACACTACTGAGAAGGCTCTATTGTTTCAGCAACAGCACCTAGGGACAACAAATTGGTTGTCGGAATCACGAATCCATTTTTAATTACAATACTTATTTCAGGGCCACAAGGTCCTGCTGTGATAAGTTGAGTATATTTTGGAGAAAACACCAACGCATTCAACCATGAAGGAAAATCGCCGATAAATTAAAGATTAAGGTATTAACAACTCCGCCAACGTCTCAGCCAATACCACCGCCATTCCAACCGTCACTCCATCATGCATCTTCTCAAATACAACTCAGAATCTATCTCATCCATCGGATACAAGTATCCGATGGTACATCGCACTCCAACGCGTACCCAGTCCTTGCATTACCAGCTCCTAGTTTCTAAGAGCGGTAACAGAAACTTATCCCGAAAACTATATTTCATAGTGCATCAATATTTTAACCAAGTGTTCCTTCTTGCGAATTTGGGTTTAATCAACTGACCGGCCAGGAAAAGCATCTGGCAACCTGTCAAATCATTCAAAGGAAAGGCCGAAGATACATTTGATCATCACCAGTTTGTTGTCCCGACAAACTAGAGATACTGGTAGCCCCTCTTTACCACGAGATTTTAATACATCAAGATGGGATCTATCATCATGGAATCATTCCCCGGGGGTAGGGATGAGTTGGTACAGCAAACCCCTGTTAAAATATCAATCCATTCAAGAGTTATGGATTTTGACTGCCTTATCGTAGAATGGTCCAATTTGCGACCTTAGCTACATCCTGCATTAGATAATCTGATGGAGATCATGATCAGTGCAGAATGTTCCAAACTTATCCGTTAAGTTTCGTAAAAGATGGAAAAAATAGAAAAACCTTAAAAGAGGATATTTTTATCCTTTGAACCTTTGATCAAAGGTATCTGATAATGAACTAAGCTTCCATTTTCGATGAAAACTTCGGTACCTAATATTTTGCATTCCACTCAGATATATGTAATGCACATATCTCTGGTAAAAGGTGCTAAGTTGGATTAATACCTAAACCGTTTTTATTGATTACAGATGTAACTTAAGTCAAAGTTATCCATGTTCTACTTCAATGAAAATCTAGCATATTTTTCGTCTAGTCTACAGTTATTTGGAGAGCCTCAAAGGTACTCCAGGTCCTCAGACTATTTTTTGCGGACAATAAATGAAATTCTTTATCATAGCGTCATATCATATCATCTAGAAATAAAACAAATAATAACCCGCTACCCATTTGATAATGGACATCGAAATGTTAAATTTATTTCTATTTGATTATAGTCTTACATTCTATGATAGTAATATACATACATTTTGCTTAAAATTAATTCAATCCATTCATTACTTCTCTTAACCTCAGCGACTGATACGTAAGCAATTCTAATAGAAATACAAATATTGAAATCGAAAACATGACACCACTTATTAAGTACAATCCTTGAAGATTTTCATTTGTTAGTCTGTTTACGAAATGAGATCGAGTAATTTTGCTCGGAAACTTAGAAGGAACATGCTTCTTTGCAATGAATGATGTAATGCCCGCTTCGATGAATATTTTCAATTTTCGATCGACATTTTCACGCAACAGCGAATGTTTTTGAAAATACATAACACGATACGATCTCCTTTACATAGGTTAAAGTACTGGTGTTTGAATTCATATAATTGTCATAAGCCAAAGAATCCAAAAGAGCCACTGCAGTTACTGGCGAAGTACTTTTTTGTACTATATCCAGACAATTAGTGGTGTTAGGCGTAATTTGCGTTTTATTTATGGGATAAAATTCATTATATGAAGATGCCAACAAGATGTAATCCTGCTCTATAAGATGTGAAATTGTTTGCGGTACTGGAATGCATTTCAAAAAACGCAGACTGTCAAACATTATACCCTGATAACCATTGCGAACTTGGAAAGAGATCAATAACCAAGAGGCCAAAAGAAAACGCACAAAGTTTCGTTTTGGTATTATCTGTATTGGTCTAAAGTTGCCGAAGAAAGTTGCAAACATTGAATGCATTTTATTTTCGGGACCGAAAACAAAATCTCGCACTTTTGGTTTTGTTTGCACTATTTTTGTCAAAATAATTGATATGGAGATGAAAATCAACATAAATATCCATGCATACAGACATAAAATATTGAGTAACTGTTTGATTGTGCCGAAGCATAAACCACTTCGGACTACAAATACATAAGAAGAAGTGTAATAAACTGAAGAAGTGCTGTATTTTTCACTGTTCCATAGGGTTGAATTGAAACCCCCAATAGCTATTTGAGATCGTTTCTTATCAAGCTAAAAGAAAAATATTAAAAATTTAAGACTAAAAACCATTTTCTATAACAGTCTGTTCTTCTAAATACAAACGAACATGTTCTGTCGTAATTTATGTGGAAAGTAATCCACAAATTAGAAAATTCGTATGTATTTAGAGGAACAGACCCTTAATCTTACTTACATCTCCAAAACAACCCAATGAATAATGAATACGACGAATTGCACTTATTTCTTTGGGAAAATTTAAACGAATTTCAACATTTAAAGCATCAGCAACTATTTTGAAAATTTCACCCTCGATACCACCTAAACGTTCCAATTCTATTAAATGTGTTTCATTGTTGACATCACCATTAAAACTTAAAAATGGAGGCATTTCATGAGCAGAAACATTTATCAAACAACCGCTATAATCGTTAGTATGATTGAGAAATAAAAATTTATTCTGTAGAGTTTCATTCTCATAACGATTAATTTCACGTACTATAATTTCGTCCTCACATTGATCTCGTTTAGACATTTCGTAGGCATAAAAACTGATGTGATTTCCTTTATTTGGTTTGTTCATTATCACCACATTTCTGATATTATAACTCAAACATGATTGAAATATTGCATGTAGGGTTTCGTTGTGTTCATCATCATTATAGGAGGTCCAAGTTAGCAAAATATAAAAATAGAATAGTCCTTCCTGCTTGGTGCTAGGGAATCTGTGGCGTATTTGTCTGTTAGAGAAAAAGTAATGAGGAAGTATACAATACTTATTAAGCAAGTAACAAAGTTGAGAACAAAGATTTCACATTTTGTTAAAAAAGTGTTCTTCTCCCTGAAAACACTTGTCGCATTACCGACCTATTACTGAGAGCAAAATATTTCTCCTCTGCAGTGTATCAAACAAATTTGATACATATCAGAAGAGGAGTGAGGTTTTTATTTCAACGTAATTTTCCATGGGCGTTATTTCCAGTTATAAACTTACAAAAATGATTCATAAGAATCCACTATAAACATATTATAATCACTTATATGGCCGTCGTAGTAATACAAATAAAACTGTATTGCAAATTCATCCTTTAAATCGTATACAATATTATTTAAAAGTTCTGGCTGATAGCTTTCCTGTTGACCGCAATGAAATATACAGTATTCTCTAATGAGAAGCGTATTTGTTTTAGGACTTATAAAATGTTTTGCCATATACACAACCAGGTTGGTGTATTCAATTAATTCTTTATTTGATTCGATTCCATCTAATGGAATTTTATAGCTCATGGTTGGTGGCAACTTTAGAACCATTACAATTATTATACAGTATTTTAACATATGTATTTTTTTGTTCTTTGCAACCGTTCCGGTTTGAATGAAAACTTTAATTGAATTCGATTCTCCATTATTATATAGATTCATATACATTATTGTTTGAATACACTAAATAAATTTTGCTAATTTAATTAACCACTAATATCAATTTGTTTTCACTATCAAATCTTATCAGATGTGTAACATTGTTTACGGTTTTAATATTTTAACATACAATGTTTAAGCAGGATTTTATGTGTCGCACTATGCGTCATTTACCCTGAAAACCTAGACAAAAAGACAAACATGAATTTAAAGAAATTTAAAAAACTGAATATACAGTTGAATAGACAACAAAATTCTGCATAATATAGTGAATTTTCAACAGAGTAAGTTGAGATTTGTAATTTTTAGACGATGTCAAAGTAAAGAAACTGAAGAAAATTATATGCGTTTTTATACCCTCCACGACTATCAGTGGTGATACAGGGTATATATAACTTTATGATTACGTGTGTAACTTCCAGATATATTCATCTGAGACCCAACAAAGTATATATATTCTTGGCCCTTATGAAATTCTGAGTCGATCTGTGCTATGTTCGTCCATCTGTCTGTCTGTATAAAACATTCTCACGTTAACACGAAGCAAATTAACAAAATTCACCCAAAATATTTATATGTATATCCTGGGCAGTTTGATATTGAAAATGAACAAAATCCGTTCACATCGGGAAAAGTTATGAATCAAAGTTTGAATAAACTAAGATTAGGATTTTTAAATTTTAAGATTTTTAAAAATTAAGATTTTCTTTACATTTCTTAATGTAGTCATGAAAATCATCACACATTTGATTCTATACAAAAGCTTTATTACTATTTATTAGGTCCACAATTTCATATACCTCCCATACAAATGTACATATTCCCTGAAAATGAGTTTATTGTTAATAACTTCCATTCGAATGTCGATATCTTCAAAAATATTGCTTTTATATACAGAATTATTACTGTACATTTTTTTTCGATCGATCCATAATTGGTCATAGCTCCCATACAAGGTCCCCTTCAGAAAGCTCATAACTCATTACGAAATAACGATATCCATACAGAGGTGACCTTATGTGGGATCTAGAGACAATTATGGACCGACCATAATAAAACTTGGTAAAATGATTAACATTCATATAAAACTGATTTTCATAAGGGACCTTATACGGGACCTAGGGGCAATAATGGACCGACCATAATCAAAAAAATCCAGCCATTAACTCAGAAAACGACGAAGACAATCCACCCTCACGTGCAGTACGCCCACTAGTAGAATGGTGTAATACAAGGGGCCATGATCTTGTCATAGGATGTGATGCTAATGCCCATCATACTCTGTGGGGGAGCTCGGATATTAATGACAAGGGTGAGAGTTTACTTCAATACCTTCTAACTACTAACCTAAGTGTTTGCACTAGAGGTAATAGACCAACGTTTTTCAATAGGATCAGGGAACAGGTCGTTGATATTACTTTGGTATGAAACACTGATTCAGTCAGAATTCTTGATTGGAGAGTATCACTAGAATGCTCATTCTCCGATCATCACAGAATAATCATTACGATACAGCTTACGCTGGCTAGGGAAAACCCCTTCAGTAATCTGATTGATACCATACCACCTCCAGAAATGGATGGACTACATGGTACACAAGACTTGGACGACTCAGTAGATTATCTATCCAGGACTTTAAGGGAAGCCTACTATGCTTCATGTAGGGAGCGGCAGGTACCTAGGAAATTCCGGCAACCATGGTGGAATCTTAAACTAATGCAGCTAAGGAAAGAATGTAGGAAACTATTTAATAAAGCGATAAGGGATCAAAACTGTTAAGCTGGGACGATTATCGTCAAAACTTCAATACTTTCAAGAGGGAAACCAGACGAGCTAAGATGGAATCTTGAAAGCGTTTCTGTGAGGAGCTGGAGAGTACTACGGAGGCACCACGTCTACGTAAGGTGCTATCTAAAGACCCCGGTACGCCTGGATTCCTGATGAAACTGGATGGTAACTTTATTGAAAGTAGCACCGAAACTCTGGAACTGCTTATGGAGACATACTTTCTGGGTTGCAGAGATGATGAAAATGAAGGCTCCACTTTGGAGCACGTCGCTTCTCGAATCCACATAAGTGAATTAGTCAGTTCTATTGTTAGTATGGAAAAAATTTCATGGGCGGTGTCACCATTCAAGACCTGTAAATCTCCAGGGCCAGATGGCATGCTCCCAGCGCTACTCCAGAAATCGGTCACCACCATCATGCCATGGCTAATTATGATGTTTAGGAGCAGCCTGGAAACAGGATATATTCCTAAAGTATGGATAGAAGTTACAGTGGTATTTATCCCCAAAGCGGGAAAAGTAAACCATAGTACCGCCAAAGATTATAGGCCGATCAGTCTGTCATCGTTTTTATTGAAAACATTGGAAAGGTTGGTCGATATCCATGTCAGGAACATCATCTCTCCTGATCATTTCTGTAGGGCACAACAAGCATACCTGAAAGGGAGGTCGGTGGAGACAGCCTTACATAACGTTGTCGGAACTATAGAAAAGGCACTTGACATAAAATAATATGTTATGGCATCTTTCTTAGACATTGAGGGTGCGTTTAACAACGTGAACATATCAACAATAGTCGATGCACTGGGTGACCTAGGTGTTGATCAGCGGTTAAAAAATTAGACAGAAAACATGCTTAGGAGCAGGGCCATTAGCTCTAATATGAATATTGGACAAGGAAAGTTGTGACAAGGGGCACACCACAAGGTGGTGTCATCTCTCCACTACTGTGGAATATTGTCGTAAATAAAATTATTTTCAGACTCAGTAGGATGGGCTTCAAAGTAGTCGCGTATGCTGACGACGTTGTGCTTCTTATTCAAGGGAAATTTCTTCCCACAATAAGTGAACTCATGGAATCAGCCCTCAGCGTTCTACTATCATGGTCCAAGGAAAACTGTCTGGGTCAACGACCCTATCAAAATTGATAGATGAATGGGCTGTGAGTGAGACGGAACTCAGGTGGTCAAATATCACCACTTGTAGAATATCGAGACTGCTCTGGCCCACTCTGACAACAGGTAGGACTAGGACTTTCTTGTCTCTTAATAAGAACTCGATTAGGCTTCTAGCTGGTATAATTACTGGGCATTGTATGATTGGACATATGTCGGATCGTATGGGCAACCCAAATTATAGTTACTGTAGAAGCTGCTTGGACGAAGAAGAAGTGGAATGCGAAGAGATGCGTCATCAATAAACATGATAGGTTTTATTAAAAGCACCGGCTGGTTTACACGGAGACCGAACGAACCAAGTAGTCAACGAAATTAGGGAGGGAAGCCATTCTCTCAATATTAGGGAATGGTAATTCTAAGGGTATCATAATAGGCCACGAGGCCTTCGAATGAACTCGCTTGCTAGCGAGCAACCTACCAACCAACTCAGAAAACACATCTAACAATTTTGGCCAATTCCTGTCTGTGAGGCAGTAAGTTTGCTAAACCGAATTATATACAAATATGCATCTATGTATGTATATTCAGTGAAAATTGCGAGTTTTGGATCAAGTGCCATTCTAGACCTTTGGAAAAATACTGATTTAGGTTATCATATGGTCGGGAATTCTTGCATGTAATTTTTCATTTGCTTTAATACAGATTTTAAAGCGTGAAAAGTTGGCCGTTTTAAAGTCCGATTTGGGTATTTATCTTAAAGCTCCTGGCAACATTTTACACTGCATATGGCGCGTTAAGAAGCATAAAATTCTGCTTAAACATTGTATTTTAAAATATTAAAAAAATAAACTATATTGCATCTGATAATATTTAAACATTAAAACAAATTGATATTATTAGTAAGTTAATTAAAATAGGAAACCTTATTTAATTTCTTTACTATATCTATACAATCATGGGCAATTGAATTCAATTAAAATTTTAATTCAAAGCGGAACAGTTGCAAATAATCAAAAAGTATGTTAAAATACTGTGTAATAATTGTGATGGTTCTTAAGTTGCTACCAATCATGAGTTATGAAATTCCAATCGAAGGAAATGAATCAAAGGAAGAGTTACGTGAATACTCCAACCTGGCTGTGTATATGGCAAAACATTTTATAAGTCCTAAAACAAATACGCTTCTCATTAGAGAATACTGTACATTTGATTGCGATAGAAAGGAAAACTATCAAGAAGAACTTGTAGATAATATCGCATTAGGTTTGAAAGATGAATTCGGAATACTATTCTTTATGGATTATTACGTTGGTCGACTATTCGACTATAATATGTTTATAGTGGATTCCCATGAATCATTCCTGTAAGTTTGTAACCGTGTAAAAAAATCCGACTTCGCTTACTGAACATTTCTTGCTTCTGCCGAGAGCAAGATTTTTATTCTCTGAGATGTATCAAAACCGCTCAAATAAGTGCTTTTATCATTTATAACACATAGGTTTCAGTGAAAAAAATATTAATAGAGCAAAGACGATTTTTGATACAGCTTAGAGAAGAAAACTTTAGCACCCTAACATTTGCCGATAGTGTAAAAAAATTTTTACCGAAAAAAGCCAGAAATCCTTATGTTAGACTCTCTTACTTGTGTTTTTTTCTTGCTTAATAAGAACATGATTCTTTAATGATTTCCCTCAATAGATATATACGCTATAGTTTCCCTATTACCCAGCAGGATCGATTCTTCTACTTCTATATTTTGCTCACTTGGATTGCCAACAATAATGGCGAACACAATAAAATCTTACATGAAATATTTCAATCATGTTTGAGGTATAAAGTCCGAAACGTTATTATAATGAGCAGAGCCCATGATGGAAATCACATCAGTTTTTATGCCTACGAACTGTCTAAACAAGATCAATGTGGAAATGAAATTATAATACGAGAAATTAATCGTTATGAGAATGGAACTTTACAGAATCAATTTTTATTTCGCGATAATACTAACGATTATCGTGGTTGTTTGATAAATGTTTCGGCTCAAGAAATGGCACCGCTTTTAAGTTTTGATGGCGATGTAAACAATGAAACACATTTAAAAGATCTCAATCGTTTGGGTGGTATCGAGGGTGAAATTCTGAAAATGGTTGCTGATGCTTTAAATATTAAAATTCGTTTAAATTTTCCCAGAGAAAAGAGTGTAATTAGTCGTCTTTATTTTTCATTAGGATGTTTTGGAGATGTGAGTAAGATTTACATACAATTTTATAAATAACCTGTAAATGAAAATTTTCGTAATATTTCTTCTAGTTGGATATGGAACGATCCCAAATAGCAATTGGAGGTTTCAGCTCAACTCAAAGGAACAGCGAAAAATACAGCACTTCTATAGTTTATTACACTAGTTCTTACGTATTTGTGGTCCGAAGTGATTTATGTTTTAGTCCCATCAAGCAGTTACTCAATCCTTTATGTCTGTCTACTTGGATATTTTTGCTGATTATCTTCTCCATTTCAATTATTTTTATAAAAATAGTGAAAACAAAACCAAAAGTACGAGATTTTGTTTTTGGTCCCAAAAATGGAATACCAATACATTCAATGTTTGTAACTTTCTTGGGCAACTTGATGCCAACACAGATAATACCAAAACGAAATTTTGCACGTTTTCTTTTGGCCTCTTGGTTATTGATCTCTTTCCAAGTTCGCAATGGGCAAAATGTTTAATGGTTTCCGTTTTGCAAATCGCATTCCAGTACCACAAACAATTTCTCATCTTATAGAACAGGATTACACCCTATTGGCATCTTCATACAAAGGATATTATCCACAAAGACAAACTCAAATAATGCCCAACACCACTAATCGTCTAGATATATTGCAAAGAAGTACTTCGCTATTAACCCTATTGGATCTTTTGGACTGTTTGGCTTTTTACAATTATTTGAATTCAAATACCAGTACTTTAACCTATGTAAAAGAGACCATACATTCGTTTCCAAGTGTTATGTATTTTCAAAAACATTCCCTGTTGCGTGCAAGTGTCGATCGAAAATTGAAAATATTCATCGAAGCGGGCATTACATCGTATATTGCAAAGAAGCAAGTTCATTCTAAGTTTCAGAGAATTAATACTCGATCGCAGCACGTTAGCAGACTAACAAATGAAAATTTTCAAGGATTGTACGTAATAAGTGGAGTAATGTTTTTGATTTCAATATCTGTATTTCTATTAGAATTGCTTACTTTTCAATCGCCGAGGCTGAGAGTATTAATGGATGGTTTAAATAAATTTTAAGCAAAATGTATATTACAATGATAAAATGTAAAACTATACTAAGTATAATCAAATAAAAATAAGTATGACATTCCAATACCCATTACGAAATGGTTAGGGGTGGTTTCAACTTGTTTCATATGAATGTCGGGCTCAGCGTAATAGTTATAGAGCTATAAATGCCTGGAGGGATCCAGAAAGATTTGAGGTACTTTAAATAATAACGAACTCGACGAAAACTATTCTAAAGAGCAATACCATTAATTCCAGTTTAACTATAAGTAGAACAAGTAAGAGTGTAGTATAAGAGTATATTCGACTATGCCGAATCTTATATACCCACCATCAAACCGTATGCCGTATGTAGATGGAAAGCTCCCCTATAAACATTAGGTTGATATTTGAAATAGGGCTTAAGTCAATTATGGACACGCCCTTTCGGCTTAACAAAATATTAATTTTTCAAAACAAATTATTTTTGTCCAACTTTTAAACCATGATCATATATGGCCGGTAGAGTCAATTATAAAATTCGGTAGTGAGATTTTGGCCTGTAAGAAACTTACTTATGTATGTCGAATTTCATAGCTATACCTGCATTTTTAAGCCATTAATGTGCGTTAAAGGCATTTTCTGAAGGGACCTTATATGAGGGGTAGGGTCAATTGTTGACCGATTCTCATAAAATTCGGTAGAGAGATTTGTGCTCGCAAGAAACGTAGGTTAGGTTACGTGGGTTGCTCGCTAGCAAGCGAGTTCACTCGGAGGCCTTGTGGAACATTGTGATACCCTTAGAATTACCATTCCCTAATATTGAGAGAATGGTTACCTCCTTAGTTACTTGACTACTTGGTTCGTTCGGTCTCCGTGTAAACCAGCCGGTGCTTTTAATAAAACAGATCATGACGCATCTCTGAGACAGCCGAGATCATGGAAAAGAGCTGTACCAAGATAGAGTAGTCTGTTCTCTTGTAAGGCTGGGCAGTCACGTAGAAGGTGTTGTACCGATTCCACTTCTTCTTCGTCTAAGGAGCTTCTTAAGTAGCTATGATTTGGGTAGCCCATACGTTCCGACATATGTCCAATCATAGAGTGCCCAGTAATTATACCAGTTAGAAGCCTAATAGAGTTCTTACTAAGAGACAAAAGAGTCCTAGTCCTATCGATATTCTACAAGTCGTGATATTTGACCACCTGAGTTCCATCTCACTCAGAGCCCATTCATCTATCAGTTTTGATAGGGTCGTCAAGGGAGTGTGAATATCCTTTTGCGCAAGGATTAAGTCCAGGGACGACCCTCTGGTTGCGCATTAATTAGATATTTCATTTCCCTGGATGCTCTCATGTCCTGGAACCCTCAACGTGATGTTGTGTCAGTTGTGCCAATGATTGAATACAATTGAGAAGACATTTCAACTTAATAACATTGGAGTTAAGAGCCTTGATTGATGCAAGGCTGTCCAAGTATATATGTATAAGTTCCCGGATTCTTCTCGCGGCTGTATAGATTGTATATATCTTTGCCTGAAGGACCGTGCAGGTGTCAGGTAGTCGAAGAGACAATAGAAGATTTAGTTTTTCGGAGAAGATTCCCGATCCCGTGCCCCTTTCTGTCTTTGACAGTGTTCGTGGCCCAACCATCCTTTGTCGGTATTATGACCTAATAAAATTCAGTGTAGATGTTGTCTGTTTCCTGCCCAATGATTGGCATGCCTATCTTTTGTAGGATGGTGCCATGACCAATGCGGTCGTGCTTCAATCCGTTCGACTGTTTAAGTAGTAGAGTTATGTTTAGCATCGTCTCTAGACTAGCCTGAGGGGTGGAGCTCAAACAGCCAGTGATTGCAAGACATGCTAATTTTCGTATCTTGTTTAGAATAGAGAGATAAATCTTGGTATCCACCGCTCTCCACCAAACAAGAGCTCCGTAGGTCAAAATAGGTCTTATGACCGCGGTGTACATGTATGGTTTAAAACCCCATCTTTTCCCAAAGAAGGCACATAATGCCTTCTTTATTCGACTCTCAGCATCACGTTTCCACGGTAAATCCGACTGCTTTCCGTTTTCCCATGGATTCTCCCTATTATATAATTTCAAAGGGGTCAACACTAGCTCTTGGCCATATAAAAGCAAGTGTATTACTGCTAATCGTCCATCTCAGTCTAGACTGGTAGGTGAGTCCGACTGCTAACATGAAGCACATATGGGTCCTAGTGGCCCCTTTGTGATAACTGTAAGGAAATGCAAAAAAGATACGAAGACGGAGAAAAGACATTTAAGGTGTGGTAGAAAGTAGTGTAAGTTATAGGTTTAGATAAATGTAAGATAAAGAAGACTTTTTTTTAGAGAGATACGAAGTAGAGAGAATAGAGAGGAGGTCAGTGTCTAATATGGACAATAGAGTGTGCAATATCTCTATATCAGATATTTTTTTTTGTAAATATTCAAAGAATCTTTGTCCTAGATATTTTACACCAATATCTCTTAAGACAGAGTAGATGTTCAATTGATTCTTTCTGCTCTTCGTCTACAGAAGTCATAATATTGTATTCCCAATACTTTCGCATGGACACCAAATTTGCAAACATCACTACAACTGTGTTTCTAAGCTGGAATCAAGTTAGTTTCAGAAGATATGACGTACGATCCCTATCGACTTTCGGTCATATTTCGTTACTAGACAGTTTATTAGTCCATCTTGCCTGAGACTTTGCTTATCATTTTTCATCTATGCGGGTTTTTCATGTTTGAGTAGAATATACATATATATGGGCAATTTCATGTCAAGTGACCCAACTTAATAAATCGATTTGGATGAAATTTGCACCAAAGTTAGTACTATTGGATAGAAGGACAGACACAAGTTATCAGCTCTCTCGGTCAAGAACTGCTGGAGTTAGAGGGGGTCAAATTTGGACATTTTGGTCATATAGGAGTCATCATCGATTTTAAAAATTGGTTCACTAAACACGAAATTGCCCATATACATGTTTGTCATCAGATAAACTTTTGTCATTACGATAAATTGCTGAATTAATTGTCAATATCTATGTATTTCATTAACACTCCTTTTCCAGCTAAATTGCTTTCAATTAAAGTTCTTATTCAAAACGCAACGGTTGTAGAAACTTTAAAAAATGTTTAAATATTGTGTAATATTTGTGGTGGCAATTGAGTTATTGACCAATGTTAGCTGTAAAGTTCCATTAGATGGACTTTATATGAATGAAAATTTAGTTCAATACACGAATTTGTCTGTTTATATGGCTAAACGTTTCTTAAGTCCAAAAACAAATACGCTTCTCATCAATGAGAAATGTATATTTAAGTGCAGAAAAGAGGAAAACTATCAACCAGAACTATTAAGTAAAATTGTAGTTGGTTTAAATAACGAATTTGGAATACAATTCTTTATGGGTTTTTACAATGACCGAATATGGGATTACAATATATTTATAGTAGATTCATATGATTCATTTCAGTAAGTTACTAAGTTACTTTAGAAAAATATGTTTATTGGAAATTATTACTCTTGCTCATCTTATAATCCTCAAAAGATATCTATGCTACGGTTTTCCAATGACAAATAAGGAACGTTTCTTCTACTTTTTTATTTTGCTTACTGGGGGCGCCAATAACGAAGTGGAACGCACTGAAACCCTATATAAAATATTTGAAAGATCGCTGGGTTATAACATCAGAAATGTGGTTGTTATGAATAAAGCTTTCGATGGAAATCACTTCAGTTTCTACGCTTATGAACTTTTTAACAGCGATCAATGTGAAAACAAAATTATAATACGTGAAATTAATCGTTATGAGAATGGAACTCTAGAGAATCAATTTTTATTTCCCGATTTTGCGAATGATTTTTATGGTTGTGTGATAAATGTTTCGGCTCGTGAAATGCCGCCACTTTTAAGTTTTAATGGCGATAGAAACAATGAAACACATTTAATGGAGATCAATCGTTTGGGCGGTATCGAAGGTGATATTTTGAAAAAGATAGCTGATGCTTTAAATATAAAAATTCGTTTAAAATTTCCCAATGAAGTGAGTAAAATTCATCCATATCAGGATTCAGCTGGTTGTTTTGCAGATGTAAGTAAGATTTTAAAAATATTGCTAAGAAATTCTCAAAATCTTTTTGTTGCAGCTGGATTATAATTGGGCCCATATAGCCATTGGAGGTTTGAGCTCGACTCTTTTGAATAGCGATAAATATAGTACTTCTTTAGTTTATCATGCTACTCCCTATGTGTTTGTGGTTCGTAGTGGTTTATGTTTTGGTCCCATCGAACAATTACTCAATCCTTTATGTCCCTCTACATGGATATTTGTATTGATTTTCTTCATAGTTGCTACTATTTTCACAAAAATAGTGCAAACGAAACCAAAACTAAGAGATTTTGTATTTGGACCCAGGATTAAAGAGCCAATATATTCAATGTTTGTAATTTTCTTGGGCTATTCGCTATCAACTCAAATATTACCAAAACGAAATTTTGCTCGTTATCTTTTGATCTCTTGGCTATTGATCTCTTTCCAAGTACGCAATGGTTATCAGGGAAAAATGTTTGACAGTCTACGTTTTTCGAAACGCATTCCAGTGCCACAAAAAATCTCTCAGCTCATAGAGCAGGGTTATTTCTTATTGACAGCTTCGCCCACCAAATATTATCCTGCAAATAAAACGCAAATTTTGCACAGCACCACTAAACGCCTTAATATCTTGCAAAATAGTACTTCACAATTAACCGTGACGGCACTTTTGGATTCCTTGGCTTATTACAATTATATGAATTCAAATACCAGTACTTTAACTTATGTCGAGGAAACCATATATTCATATCCATTTGTCATGTTCTTCAGTAAACATTCCCTGTTACGTTCGACTGTCGATCGAAAATTGAAAATATTCTCCGATGCTGGTATTACTTCGTACATTGCAAAGAAGAATATGCGTTCTAAGTTTCAGAGCATGAATTCTGGTTCACAGTTTGTAAGCAGATTGACAAATGAAAATCTGAAAGGTTTGTATCATATATGTGGTGCCATGTTTTTGATTTCAATATTTGTATTTCTTTTGGAGTTGTTTTCTTGTAAGTCGAGAAGATTACGAAAAATAATGGATGCTTTGAATTGAATTACAAAAGTGGATTATTTATAAAAGTTTACTTTATTTAAACTTTAACTTAATTCGAAATAATTCTTAAAATAAAATAAAAATCATTAACCTATTAAACCGGCACCTCCGCCACCAATAAGACCACCTCCAATTCCAGCGAATCCTCCAGCTCCTATGCCTCCAGAAGAATAGTGTACCTTATAGCGTCCACCACCGAAACCATGATGACCAAATCCGCCTAAACCTCCACCAAAACCGCGGCCTCTAAAGGTATACGATTCACGATAACGTCCAAAACCGCCACCAATACCAGCTCCCCCAATAACACCACCACCCAAACCAAAACCTCCTCCTAGACCACCATGACCATAACCATAGGCAGGCAGTTGTTGTTGTACAACCGGAACGTGTTGAAGTGTTTGATAATTTTGAACAACCGGTACATGTTGTACGGTCTGAACATTTTGTACTACGGGCACTGATTGAACTGATTCATAGGGATTCGTAATTAAGGGATATGGCGATAAACCACCACCACCTACTGACGAAGAGGCTGAGGCTGTAGCAGTAGCAGTGGCTGTAGATGCTGCACCTCCAGCAGTTGCAGTAGCTGTGGCCACAGCTTCACCACCACCAGAATTTGCGGTAGCAAATGAATCTGCCGCCGATCCACTTCCCAGAATCGGTGTACCCATAACGGCCGAACTTAGTAGTAGAACACTAATAAAAATACTTGTAACCAGCATAATGGTCTATTATTAACTAACTAATTTGATATCGCAGAACTATTAAATTATTTTTACTTTAAGCTTTTGGTTTTTATATAATGCAAACGTACACGTACATAGTTTCATAAATGAATGTTTATTTACAAAACTGTTTAACATAAGTCAATAAAATATATGATGGCACTTAAGGTTTTTGGGATTTTTCGAAATTTTGTGTTTTCCTAAGAAATAAGAAAACAAATTGAAATCATTACTTTGTCTATTCTTAAGTTAATTTACTACTTTTCGCTCTTCATTTGTTGGTGCGTAAATATAATAGTTTTCGTATAAGAGTTCATTTAAGCAGTATATTCGAGTGTGAATCACCATCATGAAATATTTACTCTTTTTAGCTGTAGCATGGCATTGACCTTCAAGTGTTCAGTTACTCGCAGTTGTACTTAAAGTGTTAATTTCTTCAATCAACCGTGACAGCATTTTTGTCTGCAACGGCATTAATATCTCTGAATTTACAGCAGATTTTAGTAGTATTTTTACATTTGGTTTACAATACTGATAAAAATGCATGTTTGATGTCAGTTTTAATAAAATAAAGAGTTTCCCACAAATATACTCATAATTTAAATTAAACAGAAACCCGATTTTGATTTTGAATACAATTCAAAAATTTCTGGGTATTTCGCTACCGAATTTATAAGTAAAAAACAGGAGTGCTACATACGACTATGCCGAATCTTATACACCTTCCACCTGCATGCTACTTTTTATTAAGTTTGTCATTCCGTTTGTAATTTAAATAATATAAATTCCCGACTCTATAAAGTATATACATATATTCTGAGTCCTTATAGATTGGAGTCGATTATGCTTTGTCCGTATGTCTGTCTGTCTGTATGTTTGTTGAAATAAATTTTCTGAAAACCCCAGATATCTTCGCGATCTAAATCTTCAACAATTCTATCATACTTTTAAGAACTTTCCTATTTAAAATCCAAACCTTATCGACCTACCATTAAAATATATGCCATTCCATTAGTCGTTTATGTTCAGACCAAGGATGATCCGTTAGTTGTGCATTTGGAATACATATCAACTCAACATATTGAGAAGATATTTCGACCCTATTACGATGGAGTCAAGTGCCTTGTGAATAGCGAGACTGAGCAGCCAGGTGGTAATAGTTGACTTTTCGAGATTCCTGTCTCGATTCAAAGTGTTTGTCCAGTCCAGTTTTACTTTTTGGTGTTTTGATTCAGAATGTATATTTAAAATATATGAAGAAAATTTAAAGTTAAATTTCGTATGGTTGGATCGACCCGTTTTTTTAACGGAAATATACAGGCTATCACCATCATCATGCATCACCCCTGGAATTCGAGATGTCGTGTCCTAAAGTTTGAAAAATACTATTTTTGGACCTTTTTGAAACGTTATAACAGCTCCAAGACAACTTTATTTATATGCCATCTTAAAGTCTATTCTGTCAACTTTAAAATAAAAGCTTAACATCTTACATATCTTCTTTTCGCTAAAAATGGAGATATACGATATCTCAAATTCCAGATATAATGGAGAAAATCTGAGATTCGTATTCCACGTGGCTCAATCCTTTATAAAAGTCTAACTTGGACTCAGGGTTTCCACTTTTTAAAATTTGGTCGGTCTGTGTTATTTACCTATTATAAGATTTATATTTAATCAGTGTAATATTTGTGTTATTTACCTATTATAAGATTTATATTTAATCAGTGTAATATTTAGAAAGCTTTTTATGAGGACTTAACTCTTAAATGTATAGCGTGCCATACATGACTTTAAATAAGCGCAATTCTAACATATTTAGCTTAAATTTGAAAAAATATGTACTAAATTAATTTAGACAGTTTAAGCCCCCTTCACACGAGCACACAAGTAATATGATCTGTCAAAATTTTGTGTAGAAGAGAACGGATGGGATCGTCTAAACGCAATATGTAATGAAACCAGCGTTGCCATAATTTTTTTTTCAAAAACTTCAAATTTAGAGAAAAAAAACTGATTTTCAACTGAAAAAACTGCCAAAAAATTTATAATTCAGTTCATATATTTTTTTATTAAAACATAACAAAACATAACAAAAAATAACAAAAAATAACAAAAAAATAACAAAACAAATGAAATTAAATACATATAATAAAAAATATAAATATAATTCAGTTTTATAAAAAGTATTTGAAATAACATGCATTTTCGTAAATTGAGTTTATTTCTCCTGGCACTTAATACTAATTAGATTTGTACATTTCTTTGGTAAATTTGATTGCCATTTCTTTTGATTGCACGAAATTGCTGCAATTACTGTTATTTTTTTTAAGAAAATCTTTAGTTCTTAAAATGCCACACAGTGTTGGCACTTCTAATCTGTTCCTAGTTTTATTTTTATTAATATTAATTTGTGAAAAAATTCGTTCAACATTAGCAGTTGCAACAGGTACTGACAAAATTGCATATACCAGTTTTTTTAAATTAGGAAAAGCTCTAGTTCCGTCGCCACGTTTTGTTTTAAATATGACTTCCCAAAAGGCTTCAATATTTTCTTCTTCTAATAAACCCAAGTCTTCAAAATTAATGTGCAGTAGTTCACGCCACTCATCATCTGTTTCTTGAATGTAGTTCATTTCTACTACATTTGGCACAAAACTACATAATTTAAAAATACTTTTATTGTTATTTTTCACAATATTAGCAGGTGCTATGACCTCAACGCATTCTAAAAAATCATTTTCAAAATCAAACTTTTTTAAGAGTGAATTGCAAAGCTCAACGTAAAATTGTAAGCAATGATTTCTGAAGTCCTTTTCGCATTCCTCAGATAATTTAGTTAGAGCTAAGGAAACTTCCGCACCTAAATAAATATCCTTTGGATCTTTTAAAAATGTGGAATTGTTAATATCAATCTTTTTAAATTTCTTAAAACATATATATTCTTCCTTTACTATACATTCAAAAATTTTTCCGTATAAACGGTTTATTGTACTATTTAATAAATGTATTTTTGGGCTTTCGTTTTGAAATAGACGGTTTAGTTTGTTAATATCATTTAATATAAATTTTAAAAATAGTAAATATAATTCAAATTCTGGATTATGTAAATAATTTATTATTCTTTGTGTAGAATCAAACTTTTCTACGTCTTCGTGTAAAAAAAATAGTTTTAAGACTTCTAATCTGCTCAAAATCTGATTTACAGTAGCTTCGAGCGATAGCCAACGCGTTTGGGAAGGGTGCAACATTTTCCTGGGATTATAATCCAGCAACACTTGTAATTCTGAAAATAATTCAACTCGTTTGGGACTATTTTGAATAAAATTGTATATATCCCTCGCACCACCTTCAATATATTTCGGTAAAAAATTACATGCTGAATTTGCGCAAAGAGCGAACGAGTGGCAAATACATTTAAATATAATTAAATGTGGACAATCTTTTTTCAGCAGTGTAGCAACAGAATGGTTACCACCAGTCATTACATTGGCACCATCCGCAGCAAAACCTATTAAGTTTGTTTTATAATTTATATTATTATTTTTGAAAATATTTACTATTTCTTCATAAATCCCTTTGGCGGTACAATCACGCACTTTAACCAAATCAAAAAAAAAGTCACAAATTTTTTCTTTATATTCAACTCTTACGACTAGAGATAACAACTTAGTAGTTGATACGTCCGTCGATTCATCGACGCACAAAGAAAACATTTTTGCACGTAGTATACTACAGAGTTCTTCTTGGTGAGTCTCGCCTATAACGTTTTTCACTATAGATGTTGTCTTTGTTCTAGCACATTTTGTTTTCTTTACGAGCGCCGAATCCTCAATAGTTTCTTGGAGTAAAGGAACTAGATGATCCATTGCCGAAAATGGAACATTATGTTCGGCGCAGAACGCTGCTAAATGGAGTTCAATATTTGATATTTTGGCACTATACTTTACTGAATCGCTTAGTGATACCTTTGAACTTTTTTGAATTTGTACAGCTGTTGTTCTTTCAACATGTTTAGATGTCAAAGCATGAGCCTTTAAATCTGACACTCCAGCTAATGCTTTTAGCTCACAACAACAAACTTTACAGTACGCCAAATTATTATCGCTTCTCCTGATCCACGATTTAAACATTTCTTGCTCCTCCCACGATTTATTGTAACCACTCAATTTTCGTTTTCGATTTTTACTTGAGCGAGGTGGGGATTCTGCAATATGTATCACATCTGCCCGCAAATTTTCAGTTTCTTTATCTAGTAAATTAATGCTTGTTATTTAATGTACCTACATATAAAAATAACAGTTTTCTTACCATTTCTTACTAAATATTTATCCATATTAGTAGTAAGTTAAAGAAAAATATTTTGTGAGTTGCATATGCAGAAGAAACCTTAGTATTACTTTGTGAACTAAACTAACAAACTATAATAGCAAACTCCATATAGAGAAACATAACTTTCTTAGACATAAAAATGTGGGAATTCCCTCTTTCTTTGTGATCAGTGGTGCAAAAAATAGTATGTATATGATAATTACATTGTCGCATTAAAAAAGTATGAGTAAAACTTGCCACTACTATATTAAACAAATGGGGTAAAATTATGGCTTTAGAAATTGGAATTAAAATAACAAAATTGAAATTAAAAAATTTAAAGGTAAAAACTGCAAAATCTGCATAATTTACAGAAAAACTTACTTTTTTAAACAAAAAACTTTAAAACTTTCAATGCTCAGAAAAACTGCAAAATGCAGATAAATCTGCACATTTGGCAACGCTGAATGAAACCATCACACATTGAGAGAAAATACGGATGGAAAATTTGACAGTCGTATGGCTCTCTTCATTTTTTGAAATGATTCAAAAAACAAGCAAGTCGCATTAGATCAGGGATGTATTTTTATGTAAACACATACAAAAAAAGTGAAACTGCCATTTCCATCTTACTTTGTTATTGTTTTATAAAAATCGTGTAAACACAAAAATATATAAATCATATGACTTTTATTCTCTTTTTTTTTTGTCATGCGGATGGAATTTCATTTTACTTTTTCATTATACTTTAGGTACGTAAAGTGTGATCGTGTAAAGGGACTTTTAATTATAAAGAGCTTATCTCCTGTCACTCTTTTGTTAATATAAGGATTAAAGTAAAAACGGGTCACAAATCATTAGAGTTTACAAGGTCCACATGGACACTGAAGTATATTCGATAGTGCTGAATCTCATGTTAAATAAGTACAGCGAAGTACCTGAACAACGATTTTTAGACATTTTGAGTCAAAAATTTATACCGTCAGCCTATTTTAAACACACAGGTTAAGCAGCAAATATATTTGTACTTTTTCGCTCCTTCGTCACGTGCGCTAAAAACGTAAAATATGCTCTAGAAACTCGGAAAATGCCCAAAATATGCAAGCTTATGCTGTTATGGGTAAAATATGCAAAAATATGCTCTAAATTGTTTTGAAACGTGTAAATGTATATATTGTCTATAAGTCCAAATGAAGCTCCACATTAAATTGTATGATGGGAAAAATGGTTTAAGTGTGTAATTTTGCTATATTTATGATATGAGGCATGCAAATTTATCACTAGGTTTTTGTTAAAATTATGTTTATTCTCACATTAAAAAAATAATACAATTATTTTTGGGGATTTTTGTTAAACTTAACTGATTTGGCCAAACATCTATTAATGCTGCAAAATGTGTAAATTTGTTAAATAAATTTCATATTGAATACAATGTGTGTCTGTGTTTGCCAAATTTTGACTAGAAAACTTTAAATGTTTTTAAAAGCTCATAAATAGAAAACGAAAATTCAACCAACAAATTTAATTGAGTATAATTTAGCTAAAGAAGCGGTAGTAAAAATTTAATTTTAGTTAAATTAAAATATTTATAAAAATAACGTATTTTAATTTAAACAAAAAAAATATGTTTTCATTTAAAATCTTTATATTACTTGTGATATTACACTGTGCAATTTGTCAACCTATAGCCACAACAAATGTGGCGGAAACAGCCACATTAGTGGAAGATTATCCTGCTGTGATTACTACCAAAAATAATTTGGAATCTGCTGCTGTTGAAGCTGAACAGAAAAGTGATTATAATGGTGAACGTTATGCAAGACACATTGGAGGTGGTGTTATAGGAGGAGGTGTTATTGGAGGTGGTGTTATAGGTGGTGGTGGTTTTGCTGCTCCAGTTTATGCTCCTCCTCCAGTATCTGTGGTATCAGCAGTTCCAGTTGTTACAACAGTTCCGGTCGTAACGACAATACCATCATATCCTGTCTATGGTGGATATGGAGGTTATGGTGGTGGTTATGGTGGAGGTTATGGCGGTGGATTTGGTGGCTATGGAGGTGGTTTGGGTGCTGGCTTTGGAGTTGCTAAATTTAAAGTTAAAGGATTTGGTATAGGTGGTGGTTTCTTGGGTTAAACGATACTCTCATGAATTTGAAATAATGACGATTTTTCGAACGTTGAAATAAAATAAAAATGAATTTTGTTAATAAAACTTGAATATTATTAATGTACAATTCGCTAATTCTAGGGTTATATAGAAGGTTGGATTGTAGGTTTAGGGTTATGGTGTTACGGTTGTATGGGGGCTAGGTGAAATAGTGGACCGGTTCCTCCGTGCGTCAATAGAAGAGTATGTATTTTAACTTTAAGCAAAAGACGGACAAAAGACTCAGATTTTGATTGGTATACTTTGGACCAATATTTTTGGGTGTTACAAACGTCAGCACAAACGCATTATACTCTACCCACTAGAGTGGTGTAAGGTATAATAAAATTTATTAGCTTATTAAACCAATTTATTCCAACAAATATTTTCATTGGTTCCCCCTCACACATACATTCATAATTATTTATTATACTAACCAAATAATCGGGGGTTTTTTACTCAACACATTTCGAATGTTTATTTCAAATTCATTTGTTTCTTATGATTTTAAAAGACGCACAATTTTTTCTAAAGCATAACAATGATGCTGCATGTTTTTAAGTCATCAATCTACCCCAGTCATTCATTTTAGATAAATAATGCCGCTACAATTGTTTAAAAAGACAATTTAGAAATACTATTTATTTGAAATTATCAAAAGTTACGCATGTTTAAGATACACTGTTTACTTGTTTTTTTTTTTACATAATTGATGTTTCAATTGCCAAAACGATTAACTATACATTTCTGATTTTTAATTTCTTTATGTCAACGCACTTTTTATACCCTACACCACTTTAGTGGGGAGGATATATTGGGTTTGTGCTGATGTTTGTAACACAAAAAATATTTGTCCTATACCCACCTTAAAGTATACCGATCGATTAAGTTATGTCCGTCTGTCCGTCCGTCTGGCTGGCTGTTCATGTAAACCTTGTGCGCAAGGTACAATATAATTGGAAAAAACCGGCCCATTATTTCACCTAGCCCCCATACAACAGAACCCCCCGAAAAGGGACTTTGAGATCATAATTATGTTAAATATACCTGTATCTCGATAAAAAGCGGCACAAAAAAGTTTTATAAAAACCTTGATGACCTTGCCAAATTTCATAAAGATCGGACCACATTTGACCCTAGCTCCCATACAAAGTCACCTTCATAAATTGACCTAAATGTTCAAAATGCATATATATATATAAACACTAATATCACGATGAATTTCAGCACAAATAAATATTATATAAATCGTATCACAAAATTTTATCGGGATCGGTCAATATTTGCCCCAAGCCCTCTTTCAAAAATTAGTTTTTCTTTCATAAATTGTTTAAATGTATCGGAAATAAGGTTATATTGAAGATAAATAAAATAAATCACATTTAATATTCATAAACGGTGTAGGGTATCATATGGTCGGTCACGTTTGTTTGAATAAGGAAATTATTTAAATATTTTTCTCCGATAATTTGGAACTGTTATAATAAGTGATTTGTTTCAGAATCTCTCTCTCTCTCCACTTAATTAGCATAAACATTAGGATAATTGTGTAACAATGCCTTACACAATATTTTCTGTGTTCATAAAGTTTCGTCTGTTTATGTCCCTCAGTCTGTTCGATGAAAACATAAAAGGAAAACTCGGAAGGAGCTTTAGTGCGGAAAATTTTCATAAATGTTCTCTTCTAATAAAGCTTGGTATTAAAAATTAAATATATCGGCCTATGATTTTACATTGATTCTACACTAATTTACCTTAGAGTACCGTTTAAGCAATGTTTGAAAAAACAGCTGTATCTACTCTTAAAAAGGAGCAGATGGGTGTCTGGTACTTTTTCTAAATTCGTACTTTTAAGGGGTAAAAAAGGGTAACGAAAGTGATTTTGGTACCTTTCTTTGGCCCCTTTATAACTTATAAACTAATAAACATGTTAAGATTTTTCTAAATATATTGGACATATCTCTCAAAATGTTTAAAATTTAGTTCTTTTTGGATGTAACTGGGAAAAAACTGTATTTTTTTGTAGTTTTTTTTTAGCACATTAGAAAACTTTTTCGATTTATTGACTTATACATATTTTATTATGGACTAACACTAATATTTTTTGAAACAACCCGTCTGATATTTCACTATGAAGAAAAAAGTACCAAAAAATAGGGGGAAACGGGAAATTTAGTTTTATTTAAACACATTTTTATAAAATTAAAAAAAAAAAACAAGTATGAATGTATAGTCGGTCATGGCCCACCAAATGATACCCTACACCAGTAGTGTGTAAAAAATGTCGATTATTTTTTAAATAATAAAGATTTCAATTTGTTTTTTACCTTAATTCCGGAATATTCTAACTTTTTGTAGACAAAAAAATATAATTTCTACAGGGGCTTATATGCGGGTAAGGGTAAATATGGGCCTGGCCTTATATATTTTGGTTTTTTAAGTCTACATTAAAGTTATTTATGTAGAATTTCATCGTGTTATTAGTGTTTATAAGTGAATTTTGACCTTCAAGTCATTTTCTAAAGGGGAGTTTGTATGCAGGCTAGGCTCATTACAAAAATCGGCAGTATCATTTAAACTTATATAAATCTAATATTTGCCGATTTTTGTAGAGATTCTAGAACATTTAACATAATTATAGGCTCAAAAGCCCTATTCTGGGGTACTGTTGTATGGGGGCTAGACGAAATAATGAACCGATATTAACAATGCGCACAAGCTTTACATGGACACACAGACAGACGGATAGAAAGACGGACAGGCGGACAGACAGAAAGATTGACTGAAGGATATAGCTAATAGACCCAGAAAGTGATTCTGAGCCGATTAGTTTACTTTCAAGTGGGTGTAGAACCAATATTTTTGGGTGTTACAAACATCAGCACAAACGCGTAATACCCTCCCACTATAGTGGTGTATGTTATAATTAAATTACACAAAATAAGCTATTGGTTGGTGTATTATTTTGGAATTCTGGTACTAAAGCCTTTTCTGAAAACATAATTTTTCTTGAGCAAATGAATGCAGATTTGTGTCGTTGAAAACTTAATTCTCAAAAAGCCTATTCCTGAACGAAAAAGAATTTATTCCATTATTTCATCGTTCTAATCATATTTTTTGAATTTGAACAAAATTAATATAGAAACAAAAATACATATTTAAACTTTTTCGTTCATCAAATAGTACTTTTTGTATTTTCTTGAATGTTCAACCTAGAAAGACACAATTTAACATGACTAAATGAGAATCTATCAGAGGTGACTTTTGAGTAAGTTTTTAAATAAAAATATTTCTTTTCATAGATATGCCCCTGACGTCCTACTAAGAGAACACAAAGCTCTTAAAGAAAGCAGTCTAAACTTTTTTTAAGTAAAAAAACACAAAAAACGTCCATTTTAAGAAAACGTCGGAAAATTAAAATGGTACATGTGCCAAGTATTGAAAAATCTTATTCTTTAAAGTTAAGTTAATTTTTTGTTTATAGAATTGCCATTTATAAATTCAGAATATAACTGTCACAGTAGTTTTAATTTTTTTTCCAAAATTTTATTACTTATAAAACTATTTAAACTCAATTATAATTTTACTAATGACTTAAAAAGCTTGATTTACTATAATTTATGCAAAATGAACACATATATATATATGGGTTCATATGTATGGGTTCATTTAGTTATGTTGTTCATTACTTATGCATAAATATTAAAAAATATTTAAATATTTTTGTTTTTTTTTGGATTTAAGGGCCTAATTATGTCAGTATCTTTGTATTTGAAAACAACTTTTAAATGTGAGAATTTTTTGTTGTTTAACACACAAATTATTACGTTTTATTTACCAAGTATGTATTATACATTTATAACTTTTACAAAGGAAACAGTGTAAAATTGCCAAAAATTAATCAAAACAAATATACAAAACTACTTCTTTATTACATATGACTAGAACTTCCGTAATTTATTGTTCATTAAGTTGGTTTCATGACGTAACATTTATACATTAAATACTGGACTTAGATAATATTAAAGAACTTTTTTTGAAAACATAAACTCCATTAAATAACTTAGTTCAATCAAGGTAAACAAATCAACGAAATATTATAAATAAATGTTAAAAATACAAAAACGATTTAGTTTGTATTTATATTCTTTACTATCAAAATGATTCTAGACGTTCGTACAGTATCGTTAGTTACCATAATATTTATTTTACTTATATCTTGCCTTGGTAGTGTTCGGGCGGAAGAAGAACAAGAAGAAGTTTTACTAAAAACTACTGAAAAACTAATGCCGGAAACATTAGCCGTGGAAGTACAAGGACATGAAAACACATCCGGACGTAAAGTGCGACAATTTGGTTTTCCTCCATCACCATTTGGATTTGGTGGCTATCGTCCATTTCCTCCAGGGCCAGGTTTTTATAGGCCTCCAGTAGGTGGTGGTGGCTTTGCCGGTGGTGGTTTCCAGCGTTCACGTGTTGTTACACGTACACAGACTCGTGTCGTAGATCGTTATCAGGGTGGTGGTTTCCGCGGAGGATTCTATGGTTAATTTTGTGTTAATGTTATTTTTTGTATGAATTTAAGTTGTGTAAATAAAAATATGTAGTTTTATAAATGTAATAAGTAATGTGTATGTTTTGTTTTACTTTAGCAGAAAAAAATATAATTCTAATAATAACAAAAAATATAGGGCTGATGTTAATGCTAAAATAATCCTCAAGTTGTTATCTTTAAAATACATTTATGCGTTTTATTTTGAAAATAATCTATATATATAAAAGAGTAGCGTTACTGACTGACTGATTCATCATCGCACAGCCCAAACTGCTGAACCTAGAATCATGAAATTTTGACAGTAGATGTGTTTTTGGTTATGTAGATCCACTAAGGAGGGATTTTTGGAAATTTGTACATTTAGCGGTAAAAAAGGGAAAAAACGGGTAAAACAGGTTTTCTTATTTATCTTACCTAATATTAGTGATACAAGTAAAATTTCAAATGGACCTGTATCTACTCTTAAAATAAGCAGATGGGTGTCTGGTACTTTTTTGAATTTCGTACTATTAAGGGGTAAAAATGTGTAACAAAGGTGATTTTGGTACCTTTTTTGGCCCTTTATAACTTTTTAACTAATAAACCAAATAACATTTTTGTAAATATTTTGAATATATCTCCCAAAATTATTAGACACCTGTTTCGTACTTTTTTGAAATTCAGCCCTTTTTGGGTGTAAAAGGGAGAAAACTGTATTTTTGGTACTTTTTTTAGCACAATAAGTAAACTTTTTCGATTTATTGAAGTATTCCTATTAAATTACGAACTAACTCTGCAATATTTATTGAAACAAAAGTTTTGCTATTTCACTGGGGAAAAAAGTACCAAAAAGGGGAAAAACGGGGAATTTGATTTTATTCAAACTCATTGAGCCAATTTTTATAAAATTTGAAAAAGTAGTTTATTTACTCACACAAAATAAGCTATTGGTATATTATTTTGGGATTCGAGTACTAAGGGCTATATAGGACCAAATTCGAGTAAATTGTTTGGTACTTTTTGAAAGCACAATTTTTCTGAATCAAATGAATGCAGATTTGAATCATTTGAGTTTTATATGTGATATATAGATTTAAATACGGATAATTTTGTAAACATAATTCTCAAAAAAGTATATCTCTAAGCGAAAAGTGTAAAAATTGTACTATTTTTATTAGTACTTTCCACTAAGGTAGAATTCATTCCACTTTTGGTACTTTTTCTTTCTTCAAATGATACTCTTTGTATGCTCTTTAATATGAATTCAAAACACATGATTATTAAACATACACGATTCTCATTGAATAAGATTCTTTAAGAGAGAACTTTTTAGTACTTTTTATCTCATAAATGGTACTTTTTTAATTTTCTAAAATATTCAACCTAGGAACATTAATTTTAACATACATACATACATACATACATACATACATACATGGTCTTGACTGAATAATATTCTGTAAGTGGGAACTCTTTGGTACTTTCCCATTCTTCAAATGGTACTTTGTGGATTCTCTATAATGGTTAACCGGAACACATGACACTCAGTTCTTATTAAATGAGAATTTATTAAAAGAAATTCTTGTACTTTTTCGTTTTTCCGATGATACTTTTTGATATTTTTACGATATTGAACATAAAAATATAAAATTTAAAACGTAGGGACCTTAGTGAATGAGAATCTACTGAAAGGGAATTTTGGTACTTTTTCATTCATCAAATTATATTTATATATAATATAGAACACAGAAACATAAAATTTTTGATTAAATGAGAATCTATAAGAGGTATTTTATAGTACATTTTTCAAATAGTACTTTCGAAATTTTCTATAATATGGAAGCTAAACGAATGAAACTAAAAATACAAGCTTCTTACTGAATGCGAATTTATTCACGCGACATTGAACGTAAAAAACTGAAACATTAAAAAAACATTAATACATTTTATTTTCTGTGAAAGTAAACAAAATTTTTTATGTATTTAATTTTGATTAGGGTAGCGAAGCACCCAGGGTATGCTAGTTTAATATAAGGTGAATTGTTAGTGGTATTATTAAATCCATTCTACTTACGAAGTCTAACTCAACCTTACTATGTGAAATGTTACTACAATATCTCCAATAGATCAGGAGATATTGAGATATTTCCAAAGGTTGCTAAAACAGTGAGAGTTATTAAAATAAATTACTCTTGATTGTTTCTAAAAGATCACATCTCTTGCTTTTCTATAGTTGATGTTGAAAATATTTAATTAATTTTACTAAATATGAACGAATGCTTTAATATATAATAGGTGTCCATTCAGGTTTCGTCGAAAACTTCAAAAGAAATGACAAAGCGCCTATTATCAGCGCCTTTAATTTTCAAAGAATAAGTACAATGACACACAGAGGTTTAGAAATTTATAGTTTTAAAAAGGTGTTTTCGAGTTGATTGTAGGTGATCGCGAATGGGGGTCTGTGGGTGGCCCCTTAAAGTTGATCGCCAAAAATCCATTTCTGTATGATCGGAATGAGCTGAAATTAAAATTTTAACTAAAAATTGCAACATATAAAATGGGCAGTTTTTTATATTTTCTCAAAAAACTACTCCAGTTTTTTAATCTCTGACCATTACTCTGATAACTTCCGAGTTGCAAAAACAGCACTTCCGTTACGTAGAACCACGCAGATAGGATGGCCTCTGTTGAGTCGGCAACAGCACCTAGAGATGTTTTGATAGACCGAAACACGAATCTATCAAATAAGCCGAGAACTTTGTTCTTACTCACAGAGAACACACTGTGGTAAATTTTGTATGACCAGAATTTTCCCTGAACATACTTGGGCAAGTAAGGAAAATTCAATGGTATCACTTGTATAAGATACCTTTCATCATGTATCATATACAATCATTTCCAAGGCTTAGTCCGACAGTCACTCCTCTGTGGGGTATCTGCTGTCAATCGACAACAGCACCGAACTTATCCCGAAATATAGATTTCATCGTTCATCCTTCTTTCAATCGCAACTTACTCTTCCCATGAATTTGGGCTTAAACCACAGCCACTACGTAGATCCCGAAGGAACCTCAACAAACTGACCAGACAGAACAAGTCCTGCGGGCAACTGGCCACCCGTAGTACCAGATTATGTGATTCTCAGATTATGTCATCACCAGTTTATAGATTTCCAGATAGATTTCATTGTCCATCAGTCTTTTAACCGCAACTTACTATACCCTCGAATTTGGGTTTAAGCCACAGACACTTCGTGGATCCCGAAGGAACCTCATCCAACTGACCAGACAGGACGAGTCCTGCGGACAACTGGCCACCCGTGGTACCAGATTATGTGGTTCTCAGATTATGTCATCATCAGTTTATAGTCCCGGCAGACTAGAGGTAGTCGTAGCACATCATTACCCCGGGATTGCAATACACCAAGATGACGTTCTTTTATCAAGGAAACATGCCCCGGGGGGTACTCTGTGGGGTATCTGCTGTCTCGGCAACAGCACCGAACTTATCCAGAATTGTAGACTTTACCGTACATCAGTATTTTAACCGACATTCTCTTCCCGCGATGGGACCTCTTCAATAACCGGGACAAGACAAAGTCCAAAACTTTGCACAGCGGGCTACCGGTTCCCGTGGTAACAGATTATGTTGTTCCTTGGTTCGGCACCATGTCAAATCATTCCAAGGAAAGGCCTAGGATACATTTGATCATCACCTGTTTATAGTCCCTTTCTCCTCTTTTCTCCGGGATTGCAATCACACCAAGATGTGGTCTTTTATCAAGGTAACATGAACCCCGGGGGAATATTGGACCAATGTAATATTCATTATTTTAAAAATAAATCACATTTAATAGTCATAACTGGTGTAGGTAGGGTAGGGTATGGTCGGCCACGCCCGACTATACTTTCTTTTATAGAATCCATATCTTCAAAAACGTAAAAAATACGGCCCTTTACATGTTTTTGTTGGATCCGTCTAACTTTTGTTTTATTTAGAATTTTATCAGAAAATCAGAAGATATTTTTAAAAAGTTTACGATCCTCCGTAAGGTCGCCACATCTGAAAAACTAAACAAGTTCGGGAAATTTTTTAAATAAAAAAATTGTTGGTGTTTTGTCAAAACTTAAATTTGCAAGTTCTGAGTAGATATTTATTGGGAATAATACAAAATTACTTTGACAAAAAATGCTGAAATGATTTCATTGCCTACTTTTAGACGCTGTTGAATTTTTTAGTAAAGTTAAGCAAATCATACAATTTTAACCGGTTTAAAGAAAGATTAAATTGTAAAATCAAGTGACTTAGTTAAAATATATTTTAGTCAAATTTTAGTAAATATTTATGTTTAGAAATTCTTTGATAAGGTAGGTAAGTAGGTTGATAGGAGGATGTATACTACATCAAATCCGAAGAAATACACCTAGGCCACTATCGGGCCTGTTGTGCGCTCCTTATCATGACAAAAAAGGAACTGAATGAATTATTTTTCAGTGTTCAGAAACTGAGTTTCCTGAACGTAATTCCTAAGAATCTTCCAATCAGTGTTAGTCAGGAATGTTATTTCCGGAATAACATCACTTCCAAGATACTTGGATCTAACTTCAACGAATGCCTGGCAGTGGCAAAGAAAGTACTCCAGAGTTTCACTGTCCTCTCCACATGCTCTACATTCGTCTGAATCCGCACGTCCAATTTTGCAGAGATGTGCTCGTAATCCTGTGTGTCCACCATCTAACTAACTTCAGACTTGCTCATTTTGAGGAGATTTTTTGTCTTCTTCTCATCAGGGTCACCCTATAGGATCTTCGTTGTTCTACCCACTGTTTCATTATTCCAAGAGGCCTTATGGGATTCTCTCACCCATATTTTTAGTTCAGCTGTCGAATGGTTTTGCGTTTGTCAGGTTAACTGCCTCGAGCTTTGATAAACTTTCGATAAAAAATATTTTAGACTGTTCGTTTGTACCCACATTTTGTCATGACATTTTTTAATTTCCATTTGCTTTAATGAATT